ATCTGCAAAGTCACCAACCACCAAGAATAGAAATTCCAAAAACAGAAAGACTTTGTTTTGCTCATCTGGTTTTCCCAGCACCTTCAAGGCAGTCTGGCATGTAATGGACAATCAATAAATCTTGGCTAAGTAAATGAGTTAATGAATGAGTAGGGAAATATAAATGGTTTGGCTTTACAAGAATGCAATTTGGCAAAACTAGCAAGGGCCTTAGTTATATTGATCTCCAAAAATTACATAACCAAGAGATATTTATCTCAATATTCCTGAAATTAAAATAACAAAATTAGAAATCTAAATCAATGTTTCATTATAAAGAAAAGGCTTTTTCTGGAGATGGGGCCTGTTATAGCCCAGGTTGGCCTCAAACTTGCTAGGTAGCTGAGAATGACCTTGAACTCCTTTTCATCCTGCCTCCTGTGTTAGGAGCACAGGCATGTCCCACTAAGTCTGAGTTTCTGGGTATGTGGATTTTTAAATAAGCTGTCTCATAGAACTCAAGTAAGCAAGGATGACTTTAAACTCCTGATACTACATCTCTATCTCCCAAGTGTTAAGATTACTGGCACAAGTCACTTTCAGGGAGGTTGCAAATCAAGTGCTGAACAATGGATCTGTGCCCCAAGGCTTTACATAACATTTAATTTAGATAACAGGTCTCCTCATGTTGCCCAGATCATATTGATCTCATGATCCTCCTGCCCCAGCCTCCTGAAACATTTGGAAATACAGGACTGAGCCATCATATACAGCTTAACTAACGAAATCCTGTTTCTGAATTTGTGCTACTTCCTAGTCAAAATCTCCTGTTTTTCTTTGTATTCTAAGTTGTGTGTCATTTTGTGTTTACTGATGTCTATTGTCTCTGTCGCTATGTATCCCAAACATGTGCTGCATGAAGTAATACCACTTACATCCTCACAGCTCACAGGGACAACCAACTAATGTCTAAAACTAGGAGGGACATACCAAAAAAGCAGCTAGAAACTGGCAGTTGTGGTGCTTGCCTCTAATTCCAGCACTCTGGAGGCAGAGGCAGGTGGATCTCTCAGTGCTAGGCCAGCCTGGTCTACAGAGCAAGGCCAGCTAGGGCTAGACTGAGTTCCAGGACAGCCACAGGAACACAACCCTTTCTCAAAACCAAAACAAACATAAAAGCATGTGTGCAACAAAGAATAGTAGCATATCCCAGAGGAACAAGCATTGCCTGCAATTGTAGGCCAGCCTGGGACAATAGTAAGACTCCATCTCAATCCAGGACAGGAAGGAAACAGGAAGAGAGAACACAAACACTAACATAACAAACACACACACACACACACAAAGTTTTTTTTCTATGCTTCTTTTGTTTACAAAATGTCTCAGGCAGTACTCAAACTAGTAATATAGCCAAGGCTAGCCTTGACTTCCTTCCTGATCCTCCTGCCTCTAACTAATCTAATGTAATCTAATGCCAGATTACAGATGTGGGCCACCATGCTCAGCCATTTCTTCTTGCATGTTGCACAATCACACGTAAGCAAAACACCAACAGACATCAAACAAATGTTAAAATATGATGTCTGACCTGATTTTGGTGGGGTCAGGTTGGACCCTGTGCCTGCCGAGTGGAATCCCTATCACCAATCCATATCCACGGGCCTAGTTATCCTCTTTTGGAGGCTCATATTTAGAATAATAACAAAATCAGCAAACAGAGGCCAGGGGAATCAGAGCAGGAGATGGGTCCCTGCCTAGCATCCATGAGGCCCTGAGAGTCATAAAATAACTGACTGAAATCAACAAATGGTGGTGCTGTGCACACAGAAGGAGCATCGGCCCATAGTCCAGATATGGTTTGCAAAACATTGTGACCTGCCATCAACTAATATCTGTGCAAGACAACTTGCTGACCAACAAAAGCTGCCTACTGTGAAAGCTGACCCTGCTGAACAAATGAGTTCTGGCTACACGCTGAGACTGTATAACTAAGGGGATTCTGTGCAAGTCTAGCCCAGCCCTTCAGAGGTGGTACTAGCTCAGCAGTAGAGGCGTGCCCACAGACAGGAGGCCCTCATCAACCTCCAGTACTGTCAAATAAAAACAACAGCTATATTACTGCCAGGGTCTGTTTTCTGCTGTCCTACTTGGGAAGTAATAAGGTACAGCTGTTGGAATGGCCTGTGACATCAGGCTAATCTAGATTGAAAATATAGCACCACACTCACAGAGCAACCTTCTCCCCTGAATGAGTAACTGTGACCTCACAGAAAACATTACATGGGATAATGTCCTAGAACAACCCCAACATCTCAGGAAACACTACCAATGAACAAGTGAGCTCACTTCTCACCAGCATGCAAGTTCACCAAAAGAACATACTCCGGCCTCCCCAAAGACAATCGGGGAAGAAGGGGATTAAAGACTTTTAAGATATTCAGAGATGATACAAGCTATTCAAAGTAATACCTGTAATTATAACCAAAACAAGTAGGCGTCAGAGCCACCTGAGTCCCATCAAAAGAATGTGCTCCATCCAGACAACACCCTAAGACGACTCAAGCATCTTGTTAAAGTAACCCCTTACTGTCTACCCGCCTGTGAACAAAAGTGTGGAACACAATGCGGCCACTAATGAAGCCACTCCCTCTAATCAACCTGTGTTTCCTCTTAATAGGTTAAAGAACAAGGCAAAGCCTTGAAACCATGAGCTAAAACCAGGAGTGGAGCTGCTGCTACACCCACGATACCTGCCCCATGGGACAAAGGCCCTAGGATTTGTCCACATTACTGGGGCTGGGGAGGGGAAATAGTAGGAGGGGTTAGGCAGGGATGGCAGAGCAAAAGAGAAAAACTTTTTGTTCCTGGCAGCCGGCAGCATTCTCCTGCCCTGGCAAAATGAGTCTTCAACCTTAAGTGTGTAATATGATAGTCCTATGACCAGAATGGTGCACCACAGTGCATAAACAATTTGTGAAACTTTTTTACATTTATGATTTACTGCGCTGGCCAGTTGTGTGGCAATCAAAGGCAACTTGTGGGAGTTGGTTCTCTCCTTCCACCATGAGGGTCATGGGTACTGAAAGCAGGGTGTTAGGCATGACAGTAAGTACTTTTCCCAGATGAGCCATCTTGCTGGCCCATAAACAAATGTTTCAGGTCAAAATGTTAAAGAAATATGAGTGTAATGTGTCTGTTTATGTCATTTAGAAAAAAATCTATTCTCTGGATCAGTGAGTGGTTCTCAACCTTCCTAATACTGCTATGACCCTTTAATACAGTTCCTCATGTTGTGGTGACCCCAACCATGAAATTATTTTCATTGCTACTTCATAACTATCATTATGCTACTGTTATGAATCATAATGTAAAGATCTGATATGCAGGAGATATGATACATGATGCCTGTGCAAGGGTTGTGACCTACAGGTAAGAACCGCTGCTCTGGAGCATCCCAACTTCCATGAAATCTGGAGTAAGATATTGCTAATGAATGTTTTCATGCAGGGTCATGTTACATAAGGGAACAATAACAGAAATGGACAATCGCCAGAGCCCGTGGCACATGCCTTTGATCCCAGCACTTTTCCAAACTCCATCTGCAGGTGACTCAAAGCCCTTGAAGGTAGACCAGACCTTGCTCTGAGGAACTGAGCCACGTCTCCTCTTCCTTTATGTGTCATTTTCCCACCTACACTTGAGGCAGCTATCGCTACCCCTAAAGGTCCCCCTATGTGTGACAGGAACAGGGCATCTCTGAGGCAGCAGCTCCACTATATGGAACTTTATGGAGCAAAGCAAGTCAAAGGATTGCATAGCTATGAAGACTCAGAAGACTCAGGCGGCTGAGCAGGATTGCTGCGACCTAAAAGCCGACCTATGGTACACTGTAAAATACTTTTTCAGAAGGGAGAGAGGAGTGTCTCTACGTAAATACTCAGGAATAAAACAGTTTTGGAGCCAGGCTCAGTGGCCAACATTAATGATCCCAGAACTCAAAGCAAAGACAAAAGGAGAACCCACAAGCCTGAGGCCAGGTGAGCCTCAAAGAGATTGCCAAGATGATCAGGCATAAACAGCAAAGGCCATCTCAAAATACCAAAGCCATTGACAGGGAGACAGACAGACAGATAGACGGATGTATGTATGTATGTATGTATGTATGTATGTATGTATGTATGTATGTATACCTATGTTCAACTTCATTATAACAATTTGTTGTTTTTTTTGACACAGCATCTCACTAAGTTGCCTAGGCAGGCCCTGAATTTGCTACCTTCTTGCCGCCGCCAGAAAAATAACTGGAATTACAAGCTGTACCTCTAGCCCCTGTTACAACACTTTATTATCAAAGTCATGGACATTTAATGTATTTGTATTATTAGAAAGCACTGGTTGCCAGGCGCAGTGGTGCACGCCTGTGGTCCCATCATTTGTGGAGGCAGAAGCAGGTGGATCTCTTTCAGTTCCAAGTCTCAAAGCAAGTCTACAAAGCAAGTCCAGGATAGCCAAGGATACACAGACAAACCCTGTCTTGAAAACACACACACACACACACACACACACACACACACACACCCCAAAGGTCATTTTTTAAAAATCAGAATAGTAATAATATTCAAATCCACAAAAGAGCTCCTGAATGATGACAATAGAAATAAAATAGCAAACTTCATGGCAACTCCTGCTCCACTCATCTTTTGGAGGACCTACTTGCCACTTGCCTCTCATTCCCACTGATTCTCCATGAGGCCTTAATAATGTGCAAACAGTATTAACCACAGCACTCAGGAGGCAGAGGCAGGTAGATCTCTGTGAGTCTGAAGTCAGCCTGGTCTACAAAGTGAGCTCCAGGACAGCCAGGGCTACAACGAGAAACCTTGTCTCAAAAACCCAAATAATAATAATGATAATAATGATGATGATGATGATGATGATGATGATGATGATGATGATGATGATGATGTAAACATATCCGCAGAGCCACGAGGGCAGTCAGATTACGCCTTCTGCATACTTACAGGGATGCCCCAGACCTGCATTCCGTCACTGTAGCCGATCATAACCAGCAGAGGGGGCTCATTTCCAGTGCTATGCAGTTCATGAAATTCTAGATTCCGTGACGTATCTGCATTAGGGTTAACAAAGAAACAAAATAAAAAGACAGTATGAACCAAGAAAACTACTTTAGCCCCATTAATGTGAAGACTGAGTTAGGACAGTAAAGCAGGGCACTGGAAGGATGGCTCAGTAGTTAAAGCATATGCTGCTCTGCCAAAGCCGGGTTCCCAGCATCCACATCACCTGGCTGACACCGGTGATTCCACCTCCAGAGTATTCAGAGCCTCTGAGGTCTGGAGGCATTTGCACATACCCATACACGGGCGTACCTACACACAAATTATAAAAACAATTTTTTTTATTTTTTTAAAGAAAATGTCAGAGGCCAATGTGGTATCTCTAGCCTGCAACCCCAGCAGGTAGGAAGGAGGATCACTAAAGCCAACCTGGACTACTCAGTAAATTCGAAGCCAACTTGGGCTACATAGTTCCAAGGCAAACTAGCTACACAGTGACACCTTGTTTCCAAAAAAAAAAAAAATTTTTTTTTTTTTTTTTTTTTTTGTAGTACTGGAGACTGAACCCTCACATATGCTAGTCAAGTGTGTTAAAGCTGAGCTATATCCCCAGCCTGCTTTTTACTTTTTGTGTTTGAGAAAGATGGGTACCGGGCCATAGAATGCTTCATAGTAACATTATTTGTTGACATCCAAAAGATGGAAACAATACAAACATTCAAGGATGATAATAGTCAGATCATGGTACTGGTCTGATAGAATGGAATGCCATCATTAAAGAAAAGAATTAGTTACTACACACCAGAGTATAAAGGACTCTCACAGACACACTAAGCAAAGAAGCCAGGCAAAAAACAAAGACTTCTGAACATACATCCAGATTCACTAGCAATTTTTTTTTGGGAGGGGGCATGGTTTCTCTTTGTAGCCCTGAGTGTCCTATTTAGACCAGGCTAGCCACAAACTCAGAGATCCTCCTGCCTCTCCTGAGTGCTGGGATTAAAGGCATGCACCAATACTATAATTTTTAAAAATATTTATTTTTGTTGTTGTTTTCCTATTGTTTTAAGACAGGGTCAAGAATAACTCAGGCTACCCTCAAGCTTGCTATGTAGCTGAAAGAAATCCTTTGTTTCATGCCACTTTCCTGTTGCTGTGACAGACTCTGAGAAAAGAAGAAAGCGGTTTAGTTCACAGTTCAGGTAGATCAAGCAGCTGCTCACATCACTCCTCCTGATCCACGATCAGGAAGCAGAGAGAAAGTATGCCTGCTGTTCAACTCCCCTGTCCATCTAACACAGCCCTGGCACCACTGCCCAGAGTATGACCTGCCCAGTTAACTAATCAAGATAATCCCTAAAAGGCATGGCCAGAGGCCCATTTACAGGGGTTCTCCATTCTGTCAAGTTAGCAATTAATGCCAAGCATGTCCACTGTGCTGGGTAACAGTGAATGCTTTGCTCTAACTGTTAGCAATCAAACTAAACGCCAAGGTGAACTCACTCAGGGGTCAGGAGATACTGGCCAAATCTTCCCTCCCAGTGACTCCTTACTAGACAAAAGACACGCAGGCTAAGTAGCAGTGGTGAGGCAATCCCACAGTCCCAGCACTCTGGAGGCTAAGGAAAGGCAAAGCCGCCTCAAGCTCTGTATTCAGTTCCCAGGAGAAATAAAACCATCTAAAACCTTTAAGAGGCTGCAATTTTATCTCTTATCAATATTAGTAAAATGAAAACAGGACAAAAATACTAGGAAAGAATCCAGTATACAGTCGTAACAGAGAAATTAAAAACACAGTATCTTTTCAAACGCCCAGGATCAGGGATGCAGCTCAGTGGCAGAGCATTTACCTAACTTGTTTGAGATCCTGAGTTCAAAACCCAGTACTGAAAAAAGTGCAAATAAAATAAAGCAGAAATGTTTATAATAAGATACTGGCCTGGAGCCAGGATTGTTTTTCTTATTTTGGGGAGGAAGTGTACAATATGTGGAGATCAGTGGAGAACTTGATGACAATTCACTCCTACCATGTGGGTCCCAGGGATCAAATTCATGTTAGTTTTGGTCACAGTAACTATTGTTTTTAATTAAAAAAAAAAAAAAAAAAAAAAAAAAGAGCAGAAGACAGAAGGCTGACTCGGTGGTTAGGAGCAATGACTGCTCTTCCAGATGACCCGGATTGATTTCCCAGCACCCACATAACAGCTCACAACCTTCTGTAACTCCTGTCCCAGGGGATCCGATGTCCTCTTCTGGCCTCTACCTGGCACAACACACTAGTGCTGCACACACAGAGATTCAGGCAAACACATAAAATAAAAAATCTTAAAAAAAAAAAAAAAAAAAAAAAAAGTCAAAGAGGCCAGTCCAAGCAAAAGACATGCACAGACATTTCTCTAAAAATGATCCATTAGATAACCTTTTAATGCCAAAAAGCTTAGTACCAAAACCTGTGGCTGAATGTCAACAGAGCACTTGTCCCCCTGTCACTACTTGAGCTTGACCTAATTAGAACAATTTCCTTGTGTAGAATATCATGTGTAGGGGCTGGAGTGATGGCTCAGCGATTAAGAGCACTGGCTGCTCTTCCCGAGGTCCTGAGTTCAATTCCTAACCACCACATGGTGGCTCACAACCATCTAAACTGGGATCTGATGTCCTCTTCTGGCATGCAGGTGTATATGCAGATAGAGCACACACATATATATATATACACACACACACAATCTTTTTTTAAAAGAGAACTTCATGCATAGATTCATTCTTAAGCTCAGCAGGTCGTTTTCTGAGTGCGTCGGGTTCCCAGTGAGAGAAGAGGGCACGGACCGCTGCTTGCCGGATGGGACAGCCAGCAGCCGCACCCCTCCTCTTACAGGCCAGGGTTCTGCTCGGCAGCACTGCAGTCCTCCAAGCAGAGCAGCATGGATATGGGGACAAAGGGATGACTCACATTTCAGGGAGAACAGAGCAGGCTGGGGCAGGGCAGCACAAGATTCTACCCAGAACAGCACACAATCTTAAATGACCACACTTTTTGTTTCAGGAATATTCTATCAAATATTTTTAGACCTTGGCAGACTTAAGGTCAGTGAAGCCTCAGAGCACACTGTCATTGATAAAGGAAGGATCGCTACATGCAAGTGACCAATATGCCTAAGAAAATATACTGCTTTTTTTTTTTTTTTTAACAAGGGAAAGGAATCAAAACTACAACTTAAACCCAGTAAGATGGCTACAACATAAAATAATGCATGCTGAATGTACTGAAAACTGAGGGGCTGGAGGTATGGGGTAGATAACCAGCATACTGCCTAATGCCCTAGGAGTGTAAACACACACCCTCAGGCACCGCCATTGAGAACCTGTCACGGTACAGGCACTACCGCAAAGAGTCAGTGGTTCATCAGAAACTAAGACTGGAATCCCATATGGAATCCAGCAGAAGCAGTCTTCAGATAGGTAGACACCAATGGACACAGCAATGGCTGTTCACATCATTAAAAGCTGTAGGAAACCTTGTGAGACAAGCCCATACTCTTAGCTACTCAGGATGATGAGGAAGGATGACTGCAGCAAGTTAACCACCAGCCTGGAGGACAGTGTGACTTCAGGGCCAAAGGACAATTTAGTGAATCCCTTCTTCAAAATGAAAAGTCACTACAGGGCTGAGGATGTAGCTCAGTTGGTAGAATATTTGGCTGGCACACAAACGGTCTAATGTTCCATCTCTAGCACCCCAAAAGTAGCCATGGTGGTAGGAGAATCAAAAGATCAAGATCATCTTCAACTATTTTTATCCAGTTTAAGGTAGCCTGGGCCACACCTATCTCAAAAATAGTTTGTCCACTTGGAACACACATTTAATCCCAGTACTAGAAAGCAGAGGCAGTTGAAACTCTGCGGTACTGGCCAGCCTGGTCTACATACTGAGTTCCAGGCCACCCACAAAATTCAGTACTTGGGAAGTAGGGCCATGAGGATCAGAAGTTCAAGGCTAGCTTGTACCACATGAGATCCTGGCTCAAGAAAATACGCAAAGAGAAAGCTGGGTGAAGTGCGCTACACAGCATGTGTGCTACTTTTGGTTCAATGGCCGACATTTTTAAAAATGGTGTTACTCGTGTATGTAACTCAGGTTGCTAAGGAGACTGGGAAAAAGAATTGTTTGTTTGAGGCCCAGAATGCAAGGTTATCCTGAGCAACTCCAGTTTACACTAAAATAAAATGGATGGTCGCACACATGTGCTGAGGTATTCATCAACCTTCTGACAATGCTCCAACACAGATGCATCCTGAACATGAATTCATTTTTGTAAAATGTCTACATCAGTCAAGAGTCATAAAGAAAGTAGAGGGGCTGGAGAGATGGCTCAGAGTTTAATAGGACTGGCTGCACTTACAGAAAACCAGTATTTTATTCCCAACATCCACTTGGATGCTGACAGTCATAACAGAGAAATTAAAAACACAATATCCTTTCAAACGCCCAGGATTAGGGCTGCAGCTCAGTGGCAGAGCTTTTACCTAGCTTGTTTGAGACCCTGAGTTCAAAACCCAGTACTGTCCCTTTACTCCCATGGGATCAGACTCCCTCTTCTAGCCTCCAAGGTGCACAAACATACAGGTAGGCAAAACACCCATATATGACGGTGGTTAGAAGGACTGGGGATGAGGATATGGAACATACTCTAATGAATACAGTTTATTTTCCAAGGTAAAAATGGTCTATACACTGATGATCAAAGATCATAATGGTTGTGCACTGTAGGGTATTTGGTGTCCAGACAGGTCTTGCTATGTGCCTCGGCTTCACCTCCAACCTGGGATCCTCCTGCCTCAGCGTCATAGGCACTGGGATTGTAACCACTTCCAGCCAAAGATAAATTTATTTAATATAAGCAAAAATAGCCTGACTGAAATTGGGGTCCTCTTTCTAAAATGAGGTCATCCCCCAAAGAAGCATTTGATAGACACAACCCTGAAAAAAATCAGTCATACCGTTCAGATCCGCATTCTCAAATCGGACCCAGACTATTTTCTCCTTTTCTTCTGTTAGGGGAGTCCCGCTGTAAGCCTGCATGAAAAACAGAAACGTTTTCATTAAAATGCTGTACAGCTCTAATGCCACAGACCTTCAAAGCAAAAGGTGACTCCAGCACAACCAATTCCAATCCTCTTCAGCTTTCCAGCCCTCCCTGCAGGTGACCAGCACATTCAGGAACAGCATTACTCCCAAAGAACGTTTGTCAAGGAATCTGATATCAGCCAAAGATGTGTTTTTAACCTAACCAGAATCATAGAAATCTAAATACAGTGCTCATAAAATACCGTGATCCTCAAAAGCCCTCCATCACCACCTTTTCTCATCAATAAAACCTATGAAGTAACGGAGCTCCACAGAACACTACACTTCAAGAATATTACTTTTTTAGTTGGATACCTGGCCTCCAGACCCAAAGTATCAGCTAATTCTTTCAAGCCTGCAAGAATCAGGGAGATATGCATTCGTGGCTAAAGAACGTTGTCAGAACCCATCAGTGTACAAGAGAACTCATCTCTCCAAGGAAAACACATTTTCATTTAAAATTTCAGGAGGCTGGCAACGTAGTTGGTGGATTGCCTATCTAGCATGCATGAAGCCCTGGGCTTGATTCCTGGTGCTTCATAAAACAAGAGTTGCAAGTTTTGACAGGAGGATGAGAAGTTCAAGGTCATTCTGGGCTGCATAGAAACTCTGTCTCAAAACACACCAAAAAAAAAAAAAAATTGTTTTAAGGTCATAGAGTGGTGGCGGTCCAACTACTAAATCCAAAACTACAAATGAGGCTGAGAGAGAATTTGTGTGGGTACACGTTTTTGGAATCCAGAGGAAAACCATGTCTTTCTCAGAAGCCACCTTGTTTGTTTGTAGAGACAGGGTTTCTCACTAACTGGGGAAGGTTGGGCCCTCAAACCCTCGAGCTCCTCCAGTCCTCATTTTCCCAAGCTGGGATTATAGCCACCTGCCATCATGCCCGCCCTGGGGCTCACACTCAGGTCCACATGCTTGCCCGACAAGCACTTTACCAAGTGAGCCATCTCCCCAGGCCTTAGCTTATAACCTAAAGTCACATATGTTACCTTATACATCCCTAACTTCAGTGAGTTTAATTTGTTTTGGAGACAGGTACTCTCTATGTAGCTCAGGCTTGCTCAAACTTGAGAATGTCCTGCCTCAGTCTCCCAGTGAAGGGATTCCAGGCACCAGCTACCCAGCTGCAGTTATCAACTTGACACACCTGGGAATTGGGAGCTTCAGTTGAGCAATTGCCCCATTAGACTGCCCTGTGGGCATATCCGTAAGGCATTTTCTTGATTGCTAATTGATGTGAGGGTCCAGCCTACGGTGAGCAGGTGGACTGAATATCAAAGGTAGCTGAACCTAAGTCTGGTGGCAAACTAGTAAGCAGCCTTCCCCAACAGCTCCGGCATCAGTCTCTGACTCCAGTTTCCTGCCTTAGCTTCCTTCAATGACAAACTTCAACCGTAAGTTGGATAAACCCTTTTCTCCCCAAGTTGCTTTTGGTCAGTGTCTTCCCACAGCAACAGAGAGCAAACTAGAGCACCAGCTTTCAGCTGGAGAGGGGGTTGTGGCTCAGACAGAAACGGAGTACTATGTGTAAGGCCTAGTTTAGCCTCTAGCACGAAAGCATTAAAACAACTTAGAGCTAAGGCGTAGTGGCTCCTGTCTGTTGCTTAAAGACCCTGTAGGCAGAGAAACGAGGAGACTTTGGGGCTACTCTCGGAGAAATCTAGGCCTAATGGTATAGGCCTGTAAATCCAGCTACTTACAAGGCTGAGGCAAATAGATTCCAAGCGTAAGGCTTCCCTGAGCTACAGCTACAGAGTGAATTCACTGCCAGCATGGACAACTACCTCCAAATAAAGTTTTTAAAAAAGTAAAGAGGATATGGGTCAGCAAATAAATGAACCTGCACAAAAGCTTGACAGCTTGAGTTAAAGCTATTGCTCACTAAGAGATATTTGGCTGTGAAAAATTTTATATACAACAGCAATAAAAGTTTAGCACTTCTCTGAATTGCATTTAAAATAAGTTTTTCTAACTGAAATGGGTAGATCAAAGGGCACAGCTAAGGGTTCCTCCTAGAAAGCAATGGTATCAGTTCGACACAGTGTGAGTGATGATAACAGAGCTACTGTGCAGGCAACAACATTCTCCCTCTATACAGGGACATTTGTAGATGCACAGAATACTTTCTAGACTCTACCTTTAATCCCAGCACTTGGGAGGCAGAGGCAGGCAGATCTCTAAATTTGATGCCAGCCTGGTCTACATAGTGATATGTTCTCTCAAAATAAATAAATTTTAAATTTTTTTAAAGAAGAATTAAATAGTGTTCAAGGGACAGTAAAATTGTTCACCAGGATCCATGGGACACAATGGTGAAAGGAGAAAAGCACCCCCACACGCACAAACATATGCACACAGTAAGTACATGTTTAAAAAAAGTGATGTTCAGATCCTGTAATCAAGCCTTTAGGAGGGGGAAGGGCTGAAAATTTGAAGCCAGCCTGGAATACAAAGACTCTATGTCAGAAAGAGATGAGGGAGAGAAAAGGGAGTGAGGAAAGAGAGAAGAAAAGAGAGGGTGTGGGAAATGAAGCAGAAAGAGGAGAGGGAGGAGAAAAGGAAAGAGCTGGGAGAGAGATAAGAGGGAGAAACTATAATACTTTTGGCTCATCTGATTGCTGCAGCCACTTAAATAAAAACCATAAATCTACATCTCTGGCTTTGGATCCTCAGTCTCCCGAGGCTCCATCCAAGAGAAACGACCTAATATATGTTTTGCTTTTTTTATGCTCTATATACACCTTTACACCTTGACACAAACCCACGGTGAATACAACGAGCTTTTTTACAGATAAGGACACCGATGTTTAAAGAATGATGTAGTAACTTGCCTAGAGCTAGTAACATGTCCACCTGAAATAGCCACATCTACCATCAAGGCTGTACTCTTAAATAAGACACTCTCGTCCCTATGCAACCCACCGTCCCCATTTCCTACCCAAAATCACCAAGGCTGCATCTTATCTCCCTTGTTCCTCGGTTCAAATGGCATTTGATTCACTAAACCTTCTGTTCATCTGTCTGCCTGCCTGCTTGTTTCTCACTATACAGCCTAGGTTAGCCTGGAAATCATCAGCATCAACCTCCCTGAACTAACAGCACGTGAACCACACCACACCCAGCCTCCAGCCTCAGGTAAACTGTTTCTCTTCCCTCTATGTTACAATTGTATAGCAGGGTACTTTATACTTTTACTATGGTGCTTATATTTGGCCATCATTTTAGCTGCATATTAATTACACAGAGATCCATGTTGATGAATGAAGATTTATGAAGCAACCATCCTGGTTCCTTTACATAGAATGCTGAGTAGCTGGAAAGAAAAACATAACTTTACAGAAAAGGTTTGCCAAGCTCCACAGCAGACCACAGAGCCCTAAATAAAGCACAGACTGAGAATCCCTTCAACTCAGTTCAGGGCCTAACTCATGCAGGGAACCCAGGTAAATGCAATCTGGTCAAGTTTCACCCTCAACATGGACAGAGAACAAACAGCATTGAGTTCCTGACTAAATATTCTAGTCTCAAAACTTCCCTGAGCCAAATTTTCCCAGACAGTTTCATGGATCAGGACCTGTTATCTCCTTCCTAACCTATGATATTCAGGAAAATTAGAATTTCTGTTGTTTTCTCCATCAGTTTACCCCCCTATTTTCCCTGTTCCTGTCCCACTCCAACTCCTCACATAAGAGTCCTCAAAGTTTCTGACTGCAGCCCTTCTCCTCCAGCCAAAAAATAATAAATCTGCCTCCCCGTTACACAGGATTCCACGTCACAAAAGATGCCTGTATAACACTTGATAAATGCTGTGGAAGCAGCAAACAAAATGTAAAAGGAAATGTTTTGTTTTTTTTTTTTAAATCCCTTTTCCATCAAACTGCAGCCTCATGCCAGGGCTCCAGCTTAAAGGAAGAACAAATTGGCTCTCAGGTGGCCACTGCCCCCTCAGCCTGGCCACCACAGCCTTGCTGCCAATCCTGACCAGCTGCCCCGATCCTTTCATTTCCACTAGCAATGCTTCTAACATGCTTCCACAGTCCCTCTCTTCCCCTTGCATCCCCTCACCAACCAAATATTCTGTGTGCGCTCCACAGCAACAGTGCTGATTTGTTGCTATTAATAATCTCTGCTTGTTTCAAGCAATTTGACTTATTAAGCAAGTGCCTGGGGAAGGGAAGCATTTTTCATCACATGCACCACAGACCTCAATGCTGTGGCCTGTTTTCATTCAAATTAACTAGACACAATAAAGCAGTACCAACATTTCTCAAAGAATACTTTTTGCAAACACAACTAAAACTCCAGATCTTGAACCTTTCTGGGATATTCCTGGTAAACTGGCAAATGGCTCCATGAAAAGCCCTGTCCAGGCATCTCAGGCACAGGCACCACGGCAAGTAGGGATGACTATCATCCACATGGAGACAAGGAGCAAGACTGTCCCTGAGCAGGCCCACCAAAAGGGCACTCGCCCATCCACATCCCTACAGATAGGGGTGCGGGACTCTCACAGACCCACTCTCTGAGAGACAGGCCTGGAAATTACTATTATGTTTAACAAGCAAGACAAATGACACTGAACTAAATAAATACACTAGATGACTCCTGCAAGACTGCTTGCTCTCTTTAAAAGAGCATCACATCCAAAGAAGCAGTAAAGGCCGTCATCTCTAGCAAAGCAGGACAAAAGGAACACACTTCTCAAAAGGAAAGAAATGATGACTTGTGCTATATAGCAACATATACACAAATAAATACTCAACTGCTATCTAGTTAACTAAACACATAGTACATAATACCTTTACCATTTCACTCAGGCATCCCCACAGGAGCACCATACAGGCATATGAATATGGGGATCAAACCTCATGCAATTGAAAAATTACCTATCATGAGATAAGAAAAATATTTAGGGAATGGAACCCAGCTGGAAAGGGTTGGGGTGGTAAAGCATTTGACCAGCACTTACAAAGCTCTCGCTTTGATTCCTAGCACAGCCAGAAGCCCAGCAGGGGAGTCCAAATCCCTCCGGGACTCCTCTCAGGAAAGAACAGTCAGAAGGGAGTAACAACCCACTACCATTACAAAAGTGAGCCACAAGCAGCCCTCAGCCCTGACCCTCAGCATGCCAAGACCTTCTGAAACTTCTAGGTCAAGCTCAGAAAACGAGATTCCAGTACCTCCTGACCATCTCTGTGCTCACACGCACTTACCTGTGGCACGACATCCTGCAGAAAAGTCACGACGCTTTCCATGTAGGACTGCTCCCTGGTAAAGGACAGATGGATAAAAACTGTTAGACAGCTTAAGACAGAACAGAGAGCAGCACGACCTACAAGACCTAATAAACTCACTACCACAGTAAAATGACAGAGAAGGAAAATGAAAACAGGCGAAGCCTCATCTACTTAGCCATAGTCTCATTTCATGAGTCTGTGGAATTGTCACTCTCTCTATTGCAGCTTCTGCATAGAGCACCTTCTCCTAAGTAACGCTGAAGGACTAGTAACAGCGGACACAGCTAAGGTAGGGCTAGATGATAATGCCCAAGTTTACAGAGTAAACTTGCTGGGACTCAGAATTCCCCGACCATCTCTTTAAACTGGTTATGTACCTTGTCCCTTACCTCGGTATGACAAAGTGAATGCATCTTACTAAAGATGCAGACCTTAGAACATGTATTCAAGTCCTCATATTATGTTGGAGGTACCCTGGTTGCCCTAGGGGAGGGCCCCTGCTCTCTGTCTGACTTCATCTGGAGACTGTCTTTAGATACAGATTCCCCTAACTACACTTGATAGAAGGCCTCTGACGCGGCTCCCAGCTAGCTCTCCCCTCCCTGAGTGTATGTTAATTAGGTCGAGTCTCTATTCTTATGATAGGAGCATGCTGTATAATGCAAATCAAGTGTCCTTGAAGTTCCTAGTTTCAACCAATTATGTACACCTACTCTTGGAGGCCCCCAAAATCCCCTAGGGGTATATAACCTTTGTTCTCTGAAATTAAAGTTGAACTAGCCATCAGCTGTTCTGGGGTATGCGATCCTGGTAGGTCTCCCATTCTCACCAGCCATTCCAGGCACACTCCAGACTTTGTAGGCTGCTGGGAGGCAGCCTCCAGGTAGAAGAACCAGCAATATTACAGCAGCTGGGGGAGATGGCTTGCTGTGCAACCTGTTCACTCCCCAGAAATCACATTAAAAAGAAATCCCATATAGTCTGGGGTTATATGCACGCACCTGGACAAGGTGGTGCATGAGAGGATCATGAGCTCCAGGCTAGCCTAGCCTATGTAACTGAACCTTGTATCAGAAAAATAAAACAAAAGTTGGGCATAGTAGCACACTCCTTTAATCCAACACTGGGGAGGCAGAGGCATTCAGATTTCTGTGAGTTCATGATGAGCTTAGCCTATATAGTGAGTTCCAAGACAGGTGGGGCTACATAGAAAAGATCTTGCCTAAAAAAAAAAAAAAAAAACCTAAGCTAAGTTATAAAAAAGAAAAAAAGGGGCTAGGGAAATAGCTCACTGGTAGAGCGCTTCCCTAGCATGTCTAAGACCTTAGGTTCAATGTCCAGAATGACAAAAAAATAATACTGCAAAGGGCATAAACAATGATATTCTGTCTTTGTTTTTATAGTCCTAGGAATGAAACCAAGGCATTACACAGCTAGGAAAATGGCCTATCACTGAATGATAGCCCCAGCCCTGAAGATACTGGAAATAGTAAGTATATAATTGTGAAGTAAGCGGAGAAAAATTATTTATTCAAAATATAAATTTCTGAAAGATGTAAACTTTCACTGAAGGAAACAAGGCAACCGGGCAGCGGGGGTGCGCACCTTTAATCTCAGCACTCAAAAGGCAGAGGCAGGTGGATCTCTGAGTTTGAGGGCAGCCTGGTCTACAGAGTGCGTCCCAGGACAGCCATGGCTAGAGAGAAACCTTGTCTGGAAAAACTCAGAGGGAGAAAACAAGGCTGACTGTAATGGCTTACACCTGTAATTCCAGCACTGAAAGCGGCTTGCCATACTACATACTGAGTCCTGTTTCAAAGAACCAAGTTTAAAAAAAAAAAAATTGAGGCTGGAGAGATGGCTCAGAGGTTAAGAGCTCTGGCTCTTCTTCCAGAGGACCGAGGTTCAATTCCCAGCACCACACAGCAGTTCACTGCTCTCTGTAACTCAGCTCTAGGAGAGCCAACCCCTCACAGTGACATACATGCAGGCATGTAGCTCAGTTATTAGTGCTCAACTGGCATGCACAACATCCTGGGTTCTGTCCCCAGAACTGCACAAACCAGGCATGATGGTGACACTTGCTACCTCAGCACTCAGAGATAGAAGCAGTGGGATCAGAAGGTCAGGAAGGCCAGCCCGGGACATGAAACCCTACCTCAGAAAAATAAGAATTTACCTAAACATCAAAAACAAAATAAAATGCCTTAGTGACCTACAAAGTAAGCCAAGAAAAAAAATCAAAAAAATCATTGAGCCAACTATATTAGACTCATTTCATCATCACTGTCTTACTTCTCTTTGGCCACAAGTGGCTTCGATCCCTAGAACACACCACCCTCAGCCCTGAATCAGGATCTTAAAGAATCCTTTGTTCTGCTCAATGTCTTCTAATATTCCTTCCTCCCACCCACAGTCCCAGCTTCTGGTGGCTTCCTCAAAACACTCTCTTCCACCCTCTACCAAGGCTCAGGAAACATCCCCCAGTCTATTGTCCCACCCACCATATAAGCTCCCTTAAAGGATGTTAACCCATCTCTCATATTTACCTTTTACATCCAGAACCTGCTAACCGGCACAAGCGAGAAGCCGGACGCTTAAGCATTGTTTGTCAAAACAACACTGGAGGCTATACCCAAGGTTACTTTTTCTAACCCTAAAAACGCCTGTGTAACAGAAATCATTACTATGGTGTAAAGACCACATGGTGGGGTAACAGATTACTAAATGAGAACACAAGATGCCCACTATCTGGGCTCCACCCCAGTTTCCCATCCAGGCTATTCCCAATGACAAGTTAATTCCTCTCTGCTTTGTTTTCCTCACCTATAAAGGAAGACTAAAATAGCAGCCTAACTCACAGCTAATAACATGTTTAACTTGATGCCACAGCAAATATCACAAGAAATTCAGCTCTAGAGAATACAGAAGGGGAAAAGGCAGTGCTGTGGTATTACTGTGTACATACTCTTTTTGTAGTCTGAGAAGACTGTCTTTTGTAATATACTAAGTTACCCAAAGGAAACAATCTAAAATATTATTCCCTCCAGGCAGTTTTTACTAAGGCAGCATCTTGCTACAAGGTTCAGACTGGACTGCCTGGGACACTCTACCTGGTCCAAACTGCTCTCAGACTATACTTGCTCGGCTTTCCAAGTACTAGGATTACAGGCCTGAGCCACTGTGCCATGCTTGCTAAAATTTTAAGACACGTAAGATATGGCCTGCATTTGTAATCACAGCACTATGAGTATCGAAGAAAGATGACCAGTGTGAGTTTGAAAATAATATGGACCACAAACTAAAACAATTAAAAAGTAAAAAGCCAGAGGCACACACTTTTAACCCCAGCATTCAGGAGGCAAAGGCAGGTGGATCTCTGCCAGCTTGGTCTACATAACGATTTCCAGGACAGTCAGAGCTACATAGTGAGACCTTGTCTTGAAAAACACAACACAAAATGAACAACAAAAAGTCAGGTGTCAAAGCAGATGCTGTAATCCCAGCACTTGGGAGGCTGGGGCAGGAATGCTTCTAGTTCGAGGACAGCCTGGGCTCAGAGTTAGTGCCAAGCCAGCCAGGACTATATAGAAAAATTCCTTTTAAAAAACAAGTAAGTAAACAAATAAAACAAGGTCTAGGCATGGTGGTACATGTCTTTAATCCCAGCAACCCGGGAGGAGGGGGAAGGGGGCTCTGCAAGGCCAGCTTGATCAATACAGTGAGATCAGGCCAGCCAAGACTACATAGAAAACCCATCTCAAAAAAAAAAAAAAAAAAGGGAGTTGGCACCACAAACTTAGAATCTGAGCTGAGACAGAGGTTGGCTCAGGAGTTCAAAGACAGTTCTACACAGCAAGGACAGTTTGATCTACAAAGTGAGTTCAGGACTGCCAATGCTACACAGGGCTTGCCCTGTCTGGGGAGGTGGGGAACTAGCCAAACAGCCAGTGCAGAGCAGGCTGGCCTTGAACTCAAAAGATCCTTCAGCCTCTGCCTTCCAAATGCTGGGATTAAAGGCGTGCACCACCAACGTTCAGATCAAACAGATACTCTGATTGTTTTAAGAACATGGTTTTCTTCACTAAAACATGCTTACGTGACAGCCTGAGGTCGAACCACAACCCCACCGGTACACCGACTGGGCCTTCTAGGGGAATCTGTAGCCATGGTTTCGTTCCTAAGACCTGTTTCCAGAATAAACGGGAAAAACGCATGTTAGTGCTGGGAGGGGACATTTTATGATCATTCCCTACAGATCCCTTTTCCAAACTGTGACAAACTGTTGAATTTTCCCAGAAACTCGTGATTTAACTCCAGCTGGCCCAGAACTCTCAGGATTAAAAAGTACACCACCACACCCAAGAAGATTCCTTTTTTAAAGATAGGTTCTTGTTTTAGATAAGTTCAAGGCTGACCTTGACCTGCCTGATATCTGATATCACTCTTGCTGGGTTTTTTTGTTGTTGTTTTATAACATAAAACTAAAAAGATACAAGATTAAAAAATTAAGGGGAACTAAGACACAGGATCACATAGAAAAACACCCAATTTGGCAAAACACAGCAGTAATCCCAGTACCCAGGAGGCTAAGGAAAAGGAACTGCCAAGAATTCAAAGGCAAAGAAAGCCTGAAGTACCTAGTGAAACTTGCCAGGAATGGTAATGCTTGCCTGAGATGTGGCGGCAAGAGAATCAGGAAGGAGTTCAAAGTCAACCTTAACTACACAGCCAATGATGTAACTGAAGGCCAGATGGCCATGTGAGACAAAGAACAAATACAAGTGACATGATACCATTGTACCTTCACATAAAACTGCTGAGTACCAATGGGTAAAACTGTGTACCCAAACTTAAATATTTTTAACCTCCAACTATTGTAACACAATCGCCAGAGTGTAAACAAATACATAATATAAACCATATGATGTAAGGATGGCTTCTCCCAGTGTCTAAATAAGTCCTGGTCCTTGACTATGTAATGAACTTCTGAATCACTGAGGTGGTTTCAAGGGTCTATAGAGTCTACCCCATTAAGGTGAAAAGTGGACTGGCAACAGAACTAAAGAGATTTCTTACAGGCTCAGGAAAGCACACAGCCTGGAAGTAATCTGCAAAGAGGCTAAAAGCATCACTTTTAAGTAAGGTGCACTGTACCACCTCATATGAAAAGTCCCTAACTGTTGGTCCCCGTGCTCCTATACAACCCAAACAACCCTTGTCCCAACTAGTTCAGCTACCCCTTTCTCAGGCAGTACCCTTCACCCGATCCCCTCAGTACTCTCATCTCCACTCCACCCTTGCTCACACGAACGAATCTCCCCACCTCTGTCCTTTAAGGGCCTGTCACCTGAGGGCAGCTCCTCGCAAGCCCCCCAGGCCCCTCTCTCCCCAAAGCCACGGGTACAGCACTCCCACTTCACCTCCAAATCCCTGCCACCACTGCCCCCGACCGCCCTCTGGCCTCTTGCCCGGCTCTCCTCCAGTCCCGACACCTTTCCCCGTCAACCAGGGCTGGCCAAGGCCTATCCCTCGTGCTGCCTGTCCCTCTCCCCCTGCGAGCCTCCCCCAAGCCCAGGACCCGGCAGCCCTCTCACCGGCCGCTCCGCCGGTAAACGCTGCTCTCCAGCTCCAGGCTCACTGTTTGGAGTCCCCCTCGTGATTGACGGCTACCACTTCCTACCCCGCCTCGGCGGAACCACCGCGCCAGCCAATCCCAGGAGCAAACTGGCCCCGGCGCGGCACCGCCCTTGGAGGTCAGCTTCGCCAACCAACAAGTAGGAGAGAGGCGGACCCGCCTTCGGAATCCATCCAATCCGCGGGGGCTGGAGGGAAAACACAACAGTATGGGAGTTCGGGTGGAGCGGGGGAGTCAGGTTCGGTTGCGAATGCAGGAGGCGGGAGAGAAAAGGCGGGCGCGCCTGAGGGCCCGGGAGAGGAACCGTGGTGGCGTTTCTCTCTCAAAAGAAAACGCAAAATGCGCCAATCCCTGCAGACCTCAGCCGGGAGTGTCGGGCGAGGAGCCCGAGGCCAGGGACGCTGGTGTGTTTACATCGAACTCTCGCGACAGCTGATTCGAAGCTAAAAGCACGTGGACGTGGCAGCTGTCAATCACTTTTAGTTGCCAATCAGGCTGCGCTAGCCCGCCCTCCGCCCCGCCCTCGGCGCCGTGTTTACCTTCCGGGAGTCCGTGGTCAGCCCAGCCACTGACTGCTTGTTGGTCTGAGCAAGGGGCTGTGAAAATTTTTGTTGAGGTCTTTAACGGTTACCGTCGTAGGAGTGGATGTCAGTGAACATGCGGAAATGCAGAGGCCCCAGACTTTGGAAGGAACTTGTTGGGCAATACAGGGATCCATAGAGATGCTAAGAGGAAATCTGGGGTTTTGCAAGAGAGGCGTTGGAAAAATTTTAAGGGTCCCCAAGAGTCTCACTGGGAAGTCCCACTTGAGAAACCCATCCTCATACTCCTAGATCTGCCTTCCCTTTCCCCTGAGCACCATTTAACACTGTGCATAAACCTTTTTCTGGGATTGGGGTAGCACATGCCTATAATCCCAGCACTTGAGAAAGCAGATACCTACCTGCCTGGTCTACATAACAAGCTCCAAGCCAGTTCAGTGCCAGCAAGTTTGAAACCCTGTTCCCCCCTCAAAAAAAAAATCTTTCTAATAAAGCCTAATTCTTTTTTTTTTTTTTAAGTTATAAACGGGCCTGGAATTTGGACATGTTGTCCCTGCCTGGAAGTGGAATAGACAGCTAGGTATTCCCAACAAGGAATGGAATGAGTAGGAAGACATTTGTCTATCATATAGGTTAAAGGACTCATAAAGTAGACGGGTTAGGGATGTCATCTATGTCAAGAGTGGGGAGGGGGGAAATCATGGTCAAGGCCAAAAGAGGCATTTCCATGGCCATATGTCTTAGGGTTACTATTGCTTTGATGAAACACCAGGACGAAAAGCAGCACCGGAAGGAAAGGGGTTTTTTTGTTTGTTTGTTTGTTTGTTTGTTTGTTTTTGTTTTTTTGTTTTTTTTACTTACATATCCCAACTCCACTGAGGGGAACCAAGGCAGGAACTCAAACCATACAGAAACCTTGAGACAGGAGCTGGTACAGGGGCCATGAAGGAGTACTGCTTACGTCTTACTCCTCATGGCCCACTCAGCCTGCTCTTTATAGAACCCAGGGCCACCAGCCCACAATGGCGCCACCCACCCCACCCCATCAATATCTAATTAGAAAAATGCTCTACAGGCTCGCCTAATAAACCGCTCTTATCTTGTGGAGACATTTTCCCAACTGAGGTCCCCTCCCCTCAAATGACGGAATCATTACCCCAAATAAGGAACTTCTTTCCTTACTGGACTCTTCAGTGGTGTAGAAACAAACGAAAGGGCGATGAATGAGAATGTTTATGAAAAAGAACACTGCTTCTGTCTGTCTCCAGCTTGAAATTTGGACATGGGCCCAGGAGAGGCATAAAGCCCAGTGGCTATGAGCACTCCTGCGTTAAATGTCTTAGTTGTCCACAATGATAGTAAAAAGTTGTTTTTTTTTCCTGTTGTGGTTCTCTTAGACTAAGCAAGTTGTTTCTGGATGTGATTCTAGTGTTTCCTGAGATAGGCAGGGAATGGGCAGTTGCTGTAGCCATGTAATGAACTGGTTCAGTTAACCTTCTAGTTTAACCTTTCAGGGTCTCAAGACCTCCTCTCAAGGCCTGAGAGATGGTTCTGAAGGTAAAGGTCCTTGCTGCCAAGCCCGATAACCTGAGTTTAATCCCCAGGACTCACATTAAAGAGTTATCCTCTGACCATGTAACTTGTAACATAGCATGATAGCACTCATACACACCCTCACCACACCCACAGTGATTTAAAAGAAAATTTTAAAACCTTCTTTCTCATTATACTTGGAAGACAAAGGCAAGAGAATCAGATGTTCAAGGCCATCATTCTTCCTTACATGTGTGATTCGAGGCAGCCTCAGCTACAGAAGACTTTAAAACACACACACACACACACACACACACACACACACACACACACACAGGAAATAGGTAACCATGTCCTCCCAGCAGACATGAGAAATGGGACATGAACCTGATACTGCCAAAGTCCTCAATGGCCACCCTGCAATAGAGATTCTTTTCCAAATGAAAGCTGTTATTTTTATATTATATAATATATATAATATATATTATATATGTGTGTATATATATATTATATATATATTATATCTTAATTATTCCCAGGTCTTTCTGTACACAATTCTTAAGGGGATGAGAGAGTGGGTGTGGACCTGGGTAGGGGAGAGAGTGGTTGCAGAGTGGAGGAGGACTGGAGAAGGAGGTCAATAGCCAGAGCTGGGACCGGGAGTTAGTTACACGGTAGAAGGCTGGTCGTGCAGAGGCTTGGGGTTAAGCCCTGGGTTGTGCAGGTTGGAAGCCAGCCTGAACCACATGAGACTCCTCTCATTAAATAAGCATCCCAGATTAGCCTCGGTGGCTCACACCTGTGCCCAGGAGGCTGTGACATGAGTGAATCCCATTAGGCTACAGAGTGAATTTAAAGCCAGCCTGTGCTATCTGTGAGACACTGCCACCGAAATAAACAAACAAATAAATAATAAAAAGAAAACCCAGAATAGACACTCCTGCTTCACTTACCTTTGGTATTTGCTTTCATCATCAGTTTGATAACATTGATAAACAGTACACTCTATAGTGACACATAGCACCTGACTTTGCTTAGACCCAGTGAGAATGGTGACCTTGAACTGCTGACCCTGTCTCCCGCCCCCTCCATGCTGAGACTACAGGCAAGCATTATGCCACATCCAGATTTCCTTTTTTTAAAATATTTATTATTATTTATACATGTATGCCTAAAAGCCAAAAGAGGGCACCAGATCTCACTATAGATGGTTGTGAGCCACCATGTGGTTGCTGGGAATTGAACTCAGAGACCTGTGGAAGAGCAGCCAGTGCTCTTAACCTCTTAGCCATCTCTCCAGCCCCCAGATTTCCTTCTTAACCATGACTGTGGTGTTCATTTTCAGTGGAAGAGTTACAGCTCTTTGTTCAGATTGTTACCAAGTATTATTTTAACAAATTACTAGATGATCATATGTAAGGTTTATTATCGTGTTAGATTGATTACCTTTGAAATGACTACAGATCAAAACCCTAAAATTCCCAACTGCTGTGGTAGTGCAGGCTGAAGCAAGTTGCAGCAAGTTCAAGATCAGTCCTACATACCAAGACTGTCTCAAAGAACAAAATGAGAAAATTAATGAAAAATTTTAAACTAAAAGAGCATAACGATATATCAGAGAAAAGTGAGGGCAAATTAAAACATAAGAATGTGCATGGGGGAGACAGAAGCAGTGAGTTCAAGGCCAGCCTGGTCTACAAAGTGAGTCCAGGACAGTCAGGGCTACACAAAGGAAACCTGCATTAAAAAAAAAAAAAAAGACAAGGAGAGCAACAGAACCAGAAAATTTGAACACAGGGGTCTTTCCAGAGACTCATACTCCAACCAAGTACCAGGCATGGAGATAACCTAGAACCTCTGCACAGATGTAGGCCATGGCAGTTTAGTGTCCAAGTTGGTTCCATAGTAATGGGAACAGGGACTGCCTCTGACATAATCGATTGGCCTGCTCTTTGATCACCTCCCCCTGAGGGGGGAGCAGTCTTACCAGGCCACAGGAGATGACAATGCAGCCACTCCTGATGAGATCTGATAGACTAAGATCAGAAGGAAGGAGAGGAGGACCTCCCTTATCAGTGGACTTGGGAAGGGGCATTCCTGAAGAAGGGGGAGGCAGGGTGGGACTGGGAGGGCAGGAGGGAGGGGCTTATGGGGGGGATACAAAGTGAATAAAGTGTAATTAATAAAATAAAATAAAATTTTAAAAAAGGAATGTGGTGCTAGAAAAGGTCGATAATAGCTAAAAGGTTTCAAAATTTGGTAAAGAATACAACCCTACAGATCCAAGTTCAGACAATAAAAAGAAATTAACTCAGGAACTTCAGGACTGGATAGTGACAGACATGAGAAAGAAAGACAGCTGAAAGGTAGAAAAGTTAAGGGTACATGCATGAATAAACATGTCTTTGAAACCAACTAATTTATACAACTGGCATATTAATAATTACCAAGAGGGTCCTACAACTTTCGTTAAAGCATTCCCAAAGTCATCCTAGTGGGTCCTACCTAAGCTTCAGTATTTCAACAGTGCCATCCCAGGAGACAGTATCCCAATGTAGTAGGCAGCACAGCATATCCAAGCCAGTCTTGGCTTTGCTAGAGTTAGGGATGGAATTGAGAGCCTATGGCTGAAGAGATGGCTCAGCAGTTAAGAGCAATAGCTGATCTTCCAGAAAACCCAACACCCACTCGGTAGCTCACAACTTGTCTGTAACTCCAGCTCCAGATCTGACACCCTCTCCTGGCCTCCAAGGGCACCAAGCATACATATAGCACATATACTTGCATGCAGGCAACATAACCATACACATAAAATACTAATACATTCTTTGTTGCCCCCACCCCAAGTTGAGGACGAACCCAGGGCCTGTGCTTGCTAGGCAAGCACTCTACCACTGAGCTAAATCCCCAACCCCTAATTTTTTTTTTCTTTAAATGCAAGGCCTTGTACCTGTTAAGCAAACAATCACACTAGGACCCTAATCCTTTCATCTCTCCTGGTCACAATTCCTGACCCACATTTATCTCTCTAGTTGTTTATTCATTATTGTTTTGAGACTGTCTCATGTCTCTCAGGTTGGCCTAAAACTTTGTAGCTGAGGATGACCTCTGATTGTCTCATCTCTAACTCCTGAGTACAAGGATTACAGGTTATGTGCAACATACCTATTTTATGCAGTGCTGAGATTAAACCCAGGGCTTCATATATGTGAGGCAAGCACTCTCCCAACTCAGCCACATTCCCAGCTCTCAATGAGGCTTCTTGTGCCAAATGAATAGTGTGAGAGTTTTCTCAAGACTGGGCTGGAGAGATGGCTCAGTGGTTAAGAGGACTTGATTGCTCTTCCAGAGGTCTTGAGTTCAATTCCCAGCAACCACATGGTGGCTCATAACCATCTATATTGAGATGTGTATGCCCTCCTCTGGCATGCAGGTATACATGAAGATAGAGTATTCATATACATCAAATAAATTTTTAAAAAAGATTTTTCTTAAGAGCACAATTACACATACACACCACATTTATATAATCTTAATGCTTTAGTATTTCCCTTTAGGTTTTATTGTATTACCAAGGAATGGTGCCAGAGTTTTACTGAACACTTACAAGCTATAACTGAATCATTGTAAGATATTTTTTTAGTTTGCTTCTATGTGTTCTATATTAAAATAAAAACTCAGAATGCAAAAATGAGTATTTTATGTATTTCAAAAGTCAAAAAAGCAAAGTTGTATCACACAACTGTTAGTACCTACCATGAAGAATCACCAACAAAACGCCAGCAACATAAGAGCAACAGTTCACTGATTTATTAGATGGACATACTCACATAGTCAATGAAAACTGTATGATATAAAATAATTTAGGAAATGATGGGAATTAGCAGCACCATCTGTTATTGAAATAGCAAGAAAACTTCACGAATTTTAAGCAAACACTAGAAGAGAGTGTACCTCCTGATGCCAACGGTCTGGGAAGAATGACGGTGCATCAGGCAAACACACCTTCTGCACCAGAGATGTCAGTAAGCACATGAGATGCACTGGTCTAGAGAAATGCTACTGAAGTTAGATACTGCATAGGGTCAGAGGGGCAGGGAGACTAAATCAGCTACATCAGCATGGCTCAATGCTTTTCCTATGAAATGTTTAGTTCTGGATTATGAAATGGGAAATAAGATATAATTTTTAAAAGACACTACTGGTCCCTAGGAAACATTAGGTGGAGCACAGATCACTATGAAAATACATCACCTTTCCAGTTTGTTTAGTAATTTTCTTTAAAAAGTCACGTGTTCTTCACAAGTGGTGTATACAAGTGTATAATAAGCATTTTAAAAAGTTTAAACACATGTTTAAAATCTTAGAGACTTTTCTCAGATTCTCCAACATTAGCCCTGCTGTGACAATTACTGTGTCAGAGTCAGAGACTGAACTTGTGTAAAGGATACAAATTTACACACATTTTACAGCAACTTATTCCCTACATCTACAAAATTCACATTTATAATACAGGCAAGTACAAGGCCAGGATAAAACTGTGAAATTCCAGAAAGTCAAACTGTATACTCTTTATTTTTTTGTCCCCTTAAAAAAAGTTCAACTCTGGCACCAAGTTTTAAAAGCCCTCAAGTCATGTCCTAAGTAGGGAGATTCCCATTACCCAGGCCATCTCAGCACACGCACACAGTTTTCCGGTGCTGGTGTAGGAGAGGATTTGCAATCTTCTTCTGGCCCCTGAGTCTGCGCCGGAGGGTCAGTTTGACAGAGTGCCGGCGCTGGGATGCTGCAGGGAGGCTGGAAGCCTGGGCCCCACTCCCTCGACGGTGCTTCTTCATAAGGGGGCCAGAGTTGGATTCTTCTAATGTTCTTTTAAAATTGGCTGGAGGGGTTCTTTCAACTTCTTGAGCTTTCATTTGACCTGGAGTTGACATCTTTAAATTTTTTTGGTCCATGATGGTATTTGTTGAATTGGTTGGCACGAGGCCAACTGACAGGGCATTATTCAAAGACTCATGAATCCTTAAAGTCAGAGCTTTGGGGCAATTTTCTTCAAGGGCCTCTGAATCTTTTGAGGTCATCACTACAGTCTGGATACTCCCTCGAGCTATCTCAGCTGGGACCTCTAAAAATTTCTCTGAGAACGCATTACTACGAACAAGGGCAGGGATATGGTCCTTAGAGGTCAGCCGTGGCCATGGATCTTCTTCCAGTGACTAGAGGGAAAAAAAAAAAAAAAAAAGGAAAAAAATAAGTATTTATCCTGAAGCTCAATAAACTGACACAAAGGATAAATTTCTTATGACCTTGTTAAGATGACAAAACCAGCCAGATGGTGGTAAGGCAAGTCTTTAATCCCAGCCTAGCACTCAGGAGACAGAGGCAGGTAGGATCTCTGTGAATGCCAGGTCAACCTGGTCTACAAAGGGAGTTCCAGGACAGCCAGAGCTGTTACCCGGAAAAACCCTGTCTCAAAAACAAAACAAAACAAGTAAACAAAAGATGACAAAACCATGGCATTTACTCACTTCCTTCACAATATATTTATTGCACTATGTTAGGGGTCAGGGCATGCAAAGAAGGCAATCAACACAAGGGTATCACAGAAGGAGCAGACCTTATCACTCATCTACCCAAGTGGAAAGACTCATGTGCTCAGAGATATTGCCCAACTGCAGCTGGAACCAAGTAAGACACTTTAAGGCTTCAAAACAGACCTGTTGGTTTAATGTTCTTGTGGAATGTATACAATTTACCCTTGCTCATTCAAATGCTGATTTCTCGATTTCTCTACCCTACTATCTGGTTTCAATCTGGACATTGCATTTGTAATAAGCATCACCTGTCTCAAGTTTATGTAAACATAGCACCATTTGTTCTCTGTGTTGCAAATAAAAACAACCAGCCAATGCTGAGCAATGGAGAATAGGGTAGGACATCCTGGACCGGAGGGCAGGAGAAAGAAGCAAGTGGGAGGAGAGATGGGAGAGGAGAGGACAGGGAAACATCAGGAGAAATGAACCAGACTGAAGATATGACTAAAAAGCAAGTAATAATGTGAGAAATCTGAATGGAAGGAAGCTATGTGGGCTTGGAGGTTTAGGATAGAGTAATTATTGCCCAGCATTGTGGTCAAGGTTAATTAAATAAATCCTAGTCTCTGTGTGGTGATTTGGGTATACAGCCAGTTTAGGAATAACTGCTGTTTAACTAAAAGATAAATCAACATTAAATATTAATAATCATCAACACAGACCCCTTAAAATATCCACACACACTATACCAAGCCATTCATTGTGTTTAGACACAAAAAAGAGCAAAATTATTGCCTTTGATATTTTAATTTCTTTACCCAAACTCTGTATTTTACTTTATTTGTTTGTTTACTAAGACAATAAGACAGGGGTTTCTCTTTGTAGCACTGGCTGCTTGATATGAAGACCAGGCTGGCTTCAAACTCAAAAGACCTGCCTGCTTCTATCTCCCAGTACTGAAATTAAAGGTATGTGCTACCACTGGCCAGTCCAAACTCTGTATTAACTCTGTGCAGTAATAATAGCATACTGATTTGAACTAGTTCTAATTATCTTACACAAAAGCCTTATTTCTTTTTTCATATGAGCTAAAAAGTTACCATCCTAACTTTCTGGTAAATCAAATAGTGCCTACTTACATAAACACATTTTCAATTTTAACTGACATGTGACATAATGATGACATAATTAGGGTGAAAGAGCAAATTCCTATTCAATGCATTAAGACCTACAGGCTTATATTAGTCTAATAATGTATACATACAATATTTAACATTATATGTGCAAGTAACTGCACAGTCTAACTGAGCCTTTTTTTAAAAATTACATGTTATCGGGTTGGTGAGATGGCTCAGCAGGTTAAGGTACTTGCCACCAAGGCTAACAACCTGAGTTAGATTCCCCTGGACCCACATGATGGAAGGGGAGAACTAATGCCCACAAACTGTCCTGCCCTGGAATGTATGTGTGAACACACATGTACACACAGAATGACTGTAATGAAACAATTCTGTTAACTACAGTTTTCAAAAGCTTGTGTGTATTCGAGAGTGTACACAGCACAGTATGCATGTGCAGCGGCCGGGGCCAAGTTACCTATGTTCTCTCCTTCCACTGTGCGGGTCCCAGGACTGAACTCAGGGGGCAAGCACTGCCGTCAACCAAGCTATCTCCAGGGTCTTAAGTGGTCTTTTTAGGAAAAAAAAAAAAAAAAAAAAAAATTGGGAAAGTGTGTCATGTAACCCAGGCTGTCTTTGAACTTGCTATATATAACTAAGGATGACCTTAAATTTCTGATTCTCCTGCCCCTAATTCCTAACGCTAGATTACAGACAAAGACCAACACTCAGCTTATCTAGTACAAGGAATCAGGCCCAGGGCTTCATGCATGCTAGGCAAGCTTTCTACCACCTGAACCACACCCCCAGTCCTCTAAACAGCCTCTTGACAAAAACGAGTTAAAACTAGTTAGCTTAGGACTTGGTGATGAAAGTCTGGGCATGGTGGCACATGCCTTTAATCCCAGAAGGCAGAGGCAGCTGAATCTCTGAGAGTTCAAGACTAGCCTGTCTACAAAGCAGGTTCCAAGACAGGCGGGGCTGTTACACAGAGAAATCCTGTCTAAAAAAAAAACAAAAACAAAAACAAAAAAAAAAAAAAAAAAAAAAAACACTTGGTGAAGAAGGAATCTCACTATAAGTGAAAAATTGCAGAGTTTTCTTTTAAATTTTTCTCCCTCCTAAATTCTAATTTTTGACTAATATCCATGTAGGAACTGTGAAGCACAATATTGACACAATTATGTTGTAATGGAAAGCTAGTAATTTGCCCATCCCATGAACATCCCATCAACCAGGCATCAACTGAGAAAACAGGTGATGAAGGGACCTTACTAAGAATAACAACTGTTTTGTTTGACACAGGCTCTCACTGCACAGCCTAGAGTCATCTCAAACTCTCCATAAAGCCCTTAAACTTGAGAATATTCCCTTCCCAAGAACTAGAATTATGGGTGCTTGACACCAATGCCAGGTTTTGTGTATATAAGTGTGTATACCACAGATGTGTGTATATTCATGTGTATGAATGCAGGTGCTTATGTGTCATGGGTGTTGTTGGTCCCAGCCTTCCACTGTGTTTGAGATAAGGTCACTTTGCTTTTGTTCTCTGTTGTGTATGCCCTGCTAAGCTGTCCACAAGCTTCCATGAATTCCCTGTCTACGCATTCCATCTCCCTATAGGAGTGTTAGGACTACAAATGTTCCTGCTATTTGTCCAGTTTTCATAAGAATCCTGGGGGTTCAGACACAAGTCATTCTGCTTGCACTTCACACATTTTACATTCTGAGATATCTTTCCAGCCTCTCCTTTCCCTTTCTAGAGAAGGTCTTGCTAATATTACTCAAGACATTCCAACAGTTCCAGTGGTAAGAAATTTTTGGTTTTTATAACAGTATCTCGCTCTGTAACCCACTTGACTTGCGCTGATACTCCTGCCCAAACCTCCCAGATCCTGGGATTACAGCAGGCACACTATGTACCTAGATTCCTAACCCTAGGGCATCCCTTCTCTATTCTGCCTAATGGCAATTCCATATGGAAATGAGGGAATAAGAAAGTAATGAATACAGTCACTAATCAAAAATAAGTACAAATCTCCAAAGCTTTAAATAAACTATAACAGCTGCCATTTTGTTCTATTATCTTAAAAGTCCTGGGTTTTTTTTGTTTGGTTGGTTGGTTTTTTTTAGATATTACTTTAATACGTAGCTCCCATGTTAATCTGTTAGCTCTACATGTTCCATGTAACCCAGGCTGACCTCAAATTCATGGCAATCCTCCTAATCTTGCTATTAGCTCAAGGTGGCCTTGAATTCATGATCCTTTTCCTCCAGCTGTCTGAAAGGCACACACAACTATAGCTGGCTCAGAAAGAAAACTCTAACAGGAAGTTTCTTTTAAGAGAGCCAAGTGTACAAGTGCATACCTGTGATGCCAGCACTTGGGAGACGAGGGTAAGACAACAGGACTTCATAGCCAGCTTCAGGTACATAGAGTGGTTAAAGCCAGCCTGTGATTCAGAAGACCCTAATTTCAAAAAACTATTATCAAATAAACAAGAATTTTATTTTTCAGTACTATGGACTGGCAAGATGGTTCAGTATGTATGGTAAACACACTGGCAACATAAGCCTGGCAAACTGAGTTCAATCCCCAGAACCCACATGAGAGCAAGAGGAGAAAAACAGATCCATAAAGTTGTCTTCTGACCGCCACATGCACACTGTGGCGTACATACCCACACTGACATAGCAATAAATTTAAAAAGAAGCTGGGCATGGGGGGCACATGTTTAATCACAGCATTTGAAGGCGGAGGCAGGCAAATCTCTATGAGTTCAAGGTCAGCCTGGTCTACAGAGTGAGTTCCCAGACAGCCAGAGAGACCCTGTATCCAAAATCCTAAAAGAAAATCAGAGTAGGAGTCAAGGGTATTTACTATGGGAGAATGCCTGCCTGGGTTTGATAAACAACACAAGAAAAAAAATTCACTTTAAGTTGTCAGTCAGCTCAAACCATGAAGCAAGCCTGTGACCACAGCTATTCAAGAGGCTAAGGCAGGACCACAAGTTCAAGGTGAGCCTAAACTATACATTAAGTTCAAGGCCAGCCAAAAGTAATGAACTGAAATTTAACTTAATAGTAGAATCCATGTGTCAAAAACCTACAAGAAGATAATGCTGTTTCCTACGTGTGGTAATTTAAAAAAAGGTGGTCCAATATCCTAACGGTCAGTGCAATCTTGATTCTACATGACTTTGCTCACACTATTTAATCTCTCAGTGTTATCATTGATATATAGACTGAATCAAGATAATTCTGCATTACTATCTTAAATGAACTATGTATACAAATGGTTCACAAATTGATAAATGTTTTACAAGTGTTCATAGATTCATAAAAGGAATCAGTAATTCACATGTTAATTTTTTTTTAAGTGACCTACATACGGCTGGCTTCAAATCAGACCTGTGTGAAGATGGCTCTCTGAAGAACTGGGAATATTGTATAGTTGCAGTGTGTCCAGCATTCACAAAGATCTGGGCAGAGGGGAAAGGGGTTCTTTCCAGCAACAAATTATATAGCGAAGATCCATCATTTTCTTGAACGTAATCCAAATCCAAAACTGTTTTAAGTAACCAGGTATGATTATATATACCTAAGATGCTAGCACTTGGGAGATAAAAACAGGAAGATCAGCCATTCAAGGTCACCTGCAGCTACACAGCCAGTCTGAGGTCAGCATGGACTACACGGGAGGCCTTATCTCAACAAACAAACAAACAAACAAACAGTGTTGGTGTGAAAGAGAATGCCCACCCTCTACTGTGCTCACAATATTTGAACTCTTGGTCCCTCACTAGAAGAACGGTTGGAGAAGAATTAGGAGGTGGGGATATGTCGGGGGAGGTGTGTAACAGAGGGCAGGCTTTGAGCTTCCAAAAGACGGGAGAGACTCACGTGTGCTCTCTCTCTTGATTACAGATCAAGAGGTGAGCTCTCTCAGGGTTGATGGAATGGCTCAGCAGTTAGAGTACTTGTGCTTGCATAGGACTCAGGTTCAATTCCCAATACCACATGGCAACTCACAACTGTTCCTATCTCCAGTTCCAGGGGATCCAATACTCTATTCTAACCTCAGCAAGCACCAGGCAGCACATGGTGAATAGAGATACACTCAAGCAAAACACTCACACACATAAAAATGAACTAATATTAAAAAAAAAAAAGAGCTCTCAGTTGATCTTTCACTGCCATCATAGACTCCAACCTTCTGAAACCATAAGTCAAATTAACACTTTCTTTTGTAAGTTAGTTTTGGTCATGGTGTTTTTATCAGAAATAAAGTAAATAGCAAACACAAACCTCTAAGCATGATTTTTTTATGTGGCACTAACATAACTTTAAAACTGTAGAAATGCACTGGGGAAATCTGAGGCAATACAATAAAGTGTTTCCTGTATAAGCATTCGGACCTGAGTTTGATCCCAGAATCCATGTGAAAAGCTAGGTATGGTGGTACATGGTTGCAAGCCTCGGCTGCGAAGGCCGAGAAAGCCTGCAACCTGCTGACCAGCCAATCTAACCTACTTGGTTAAGCTTTAGGTCCCAATAAGACCTCATCTCAGAAAACTAGATGGCATCTGAGGAAAGACACAAGTTTGACCTCTAACCTACACATTTGTGAATGCACACATACACACACACACACACACACATATCCCCGTAGCAGCACACACCTTGACTGGCGGTGTAGAACTCGGGGAAGGAGTCAGCACACAGGTCTCTTGGCTGTTGTAAGTAGGGCTATCAGTCAGGTTCAGAAAGAGCTCCTCTTCGTTAGTGAAGTTCCCCTGATTGTCTACTCCTGGAGAGATGCAAATTACGATGGCACTGGTGTTATCTGCTCGAAGCATGCGCTGCCTCCAGCGGCCAAGGGCTCGATTCACAAGCATTTTGGCACAGGATTGTCCATGCTCACCCTACATTTAAAAGAACAAGAAGAAGGAAGAACATTAACTCTCATTCACTTACCAACATGTACATATAAAATTAAAAACCTGGTGGATCTGTGAGATGGCTCAAAGGGTAAAGGTGTCTGCTGCCACATCTGATGCCCTCACGGGAGGAGCAACCAGTTCCCCTTCAAGCTGCTCTCTGACCAACACACACACATAAACACAATAAAACAAAAATACAAAAATGTAAAACAACATTTTCATTAAAAACATTGCTGAGTGTGACCAAATAAGTAAATAAAAGTCAAATTCTCAAATCTTATTCAAAATCTCCATGATCATGTAAAAATAGCACATCTGTAGATTTAAAAAATAAAACACAGTTTTAGAGGTAACATGGTGCTGCAAGCCTTTAATCCAATTTTTGAAGACAGAAACAGGTTTTCTGTGAGTTCAAGGCCAGCCTGGTCTATGTAAGTTCCAGGACAACCAGGTCTATACAAACCCTGCCTCAAAACAATTTAAATAATTTTTAAAAGTCATTAAATAAGAGAAGGTCTTATCTGTGGTTCAATTTGACACTGGTGTGCCAGGTGTGATGATATTAACCTCTACTCTCAGCACTGGGTCTGCTGAAGCGGGAGGATCACTAGCAGCCTGGGATGTGGAGGGTGTGTTTTGATCTCTTTAATCAAGGCCAATTTCTCTAACTCTAAGGAACGTTACAGAGAAGTCTTCTTTAAGAGGAAGCAAATTATTACAAATATAATTTAAAAAATAAGACAGTTAGGTGTGGTAGGAAAAAACACTACAGAGTGGGCTTTCCACCTAAACAGGCTGCTTCTGCCATGTTCCAGTAGTGGCAGCTACTCAGAAACCATAGGAAGATCACTGGTGCCCAAGAACAGAAACCCACTGCCAACACACACAGATAGCCCAGAACATCCTAGTGCTCGCTGTGTAGCCCAGGCTAGCCTGGAACTGGCAGTCCTCCTGCCGCACACCCTGATCACAGGTGTTCACTGCTACACTCAGAGGTGGTTTTTAATGTGGGATATCATGAGCTTTGAGTTAGAGAAACAGCATTTTATGTGCCATAAAAGAAAAATCACTGCCAATTAAGTTATGATACACTGTTTGAAAAAAGGATTCTAACTTCAGTGATGTTAAAGGATAGTCATGCATGATGGTGCACACCTGTAATCCCACCACTTATGAGGTAAAGGCAGGAAGATCAGGAGTTCAAGGCCACCCTCAACCACCTGACTATGAAACCAGATGGGCTTCATGATAGCCTGTCTCACAAAACCCAAACCAACCAACCAAACAAACAAAAAAAAAAAAAAAAAAAAAAAAAAGGTGGAAAGTATGCATCTAAACTGACTGAGGGCAGTATCAGTGTTTACTGCTAAACACTGAGTCCACCCAACTCCTCAGGGCACATGAGTCACACCTGCAGCACTGGCCTTCAGGAGGACACGAAGTGAAGCATTCCTTTGCCTTTCACTTTGTCAGCATATCTGCTTTACTTCCCAGCAAAGCTCCATGGAGAAAAACAATTCCAACTCTTTTCTTTCTTCTTCGAGACAGGTTCTCATTATATAATTCTGGCTGTCCTGGACTCAAGAGATCTGCCTGCCTCTGCTTCCTGGGTGGGGGGATTAAATGTGTGTGCCACCACTGCCCAGCAAGTTATTTTATCTTTGCTCTTATCTGATAATCACTAACTGCAAACACTAAGTCTCTGGGTGATAAAAATGAACTACTCTTAGCTTTAACAAACTCAAAGTTTGATGGGACTGATTTTTATACAGTCCATTTGTTTTTCCAATCAGGTGTTGAGGACTGAACATGAGGCATGATGATGCATGCCTGCAGGAACTCAATCATGCCTCAACTATCAGGAAGGTAAGGCAGGAGGATTAACCCCAAATTTTAGGTCAACCTAAGCAATTCAGGAGAGACTCTGTCTTAATAAAGGGAAAAGGGCAGGAGGGATAGCTCAGAGCTAATGCATGTTAAACTCTGAGTTTAATGCTCAGTGCCAGGAAACAAACACCATGTGTTAATGATCATATTTATAGGAAATATCCAAAGTAGGCAAGTACATAGAAACAGAAAAGCCCAGTGGTTGCAAGGTATGTATGGGAAAAGGAGGAGAGGGGCTAGATCATCCTTAGGTGGACTCACAACTATGGACATGACCGAAGCACTTCAGACAACATCAAACCACTGAGTGCCTTCTCACCATCAAGAATTTCTTCTCCTCCTGGTCTTGGCACATGGAGATGGCATCCTGAGGTGGAATCATATTCCAAAGGCCATCACTTCCCAGGATAATATACTTGTGCTTCTGGGGGTCAAGAGTATGGACACTTGTGTCTGGTTCAGGTGACACCACGAACTTACCACTGAAGAAATCATAGCTCCACAAGTCACCTGGGGGAAGATAGTAGAAGATGTAATAAGTATTACTTGCAAGAGGAGAGGGTCTCACCAGCAGACTAAAGAACAGAATCCCTAGGTCCATTGCCATAGTGCAGAACAGCACTGCAATATTCAAAACCTATGCAAACACACTAGAAACAAGAGAACTCCATCAACATGTTGAAGAACTGGCATGGGGATTTACAGCATACAGCTGCCTTAACCTCAAAGTAATGCTAAAGAAAACTGCAAAATGAACTAAGCAGTCTCAGAATATCCCATGTTTTTTCTCATTTGTGGTTCTGAGATTTTAAGAAGATACATAAGATCATGCATTTATGGAATAGACATAGAAATGAAACTGTCTAGGGGAAACAGGGACTACTGAAAGAGGGAGTGTGAAGAATGAGATAGGAGATCATGGGGACAATACACTCAAAGTAGAGACACACTTAAATAAAAATGATCTTTGGAACCCAGCACCATGTACAATTTATATATCAATAAAAAATTTCTAAATCAAAACTATGCCATGGGGTAGAAATATATATGCAAAGACATAGGCTTGATCCCTAGAACCACAGGTAAATAATTAAGTTTATATTTATTAAATATTTTAAACAACAACAAAAGAATGCTATGCCTTGACTACCACTTCTAACACTATGCTAGAGTTCCTTCTCAGCCCAGTAGGATGATTAAAAATACAGATGAATTGAATAGAAGGAAATTTTTTATGGGTAAGTTCATTGTACAAAGAAAACCAAATAAATTATTAAAATAAAGCTAAGTATAGGAGAGGAGGATTGATTCCAAGTTTGAGCGAGCCACGGCAACTCAGCAGGACCCCACTATGAACTTAAAAAGGACTCACAGTGCAGCTCAGCAGTAGAGTGCTTGCTGGCATATGAGGTCCTGGGTTCAAACCCCAGCACCACAAACAAACAGTTTTGCAAACAAGTTTAACTCAACTGAGAGAAGTCAATATATTTCTATACTATTATAATACATATATTATAAATAGGCTGGCTTTGAACTCAGAGAGATCAGCATGCCTCTGCCTCCCAAGTACTGCAATTAAAGGCACTAAGCCACCATGCCGATAATAAATATTTTTAAAATAAAGCACAGTTGACACCTGCTTTTGAATGGCTATCTTTTTCTCAGCCTACTTCCTCCCTAGGGAATGCCTCTCTCTCTCTGTCTCTTTCTGTCTCTGTCTGTGTGTGTGTGTGTGTGTGTGTGTGTGTGTGTGTGTGTAGCCTTGGCTGTCCTGGACTCACTTTGTAGATGTCTTCATATTCCTTAATTTAAAAAAGTTTAATATAGCTAATATAGATTTAATAGACACTGGACCAGTGAGATGGCTCAGTGCCGAAGGGGGACTGATGCCAAACCTGACAATCTGAGTTTGATCCCTGGGATCCACATAGTGGAAGGATAGAAACTAACTCTCAAAAGTTGTCCTCTGACGTTCACATGTGTGCTGGGGCATTCATGCACATTTACAAATACATAAATACTTTTTTTTTTAAAGAAATGGGCATTAATAAGACAGGAAGAGGGGTTGGAGAGATGGCTCAGTAGTTAAGAACGTACTGGCTGCTCTTCAGAGGATCAGAGTTCAATTCCTAGTATCCACATGGCAGCTCACAACCATCAGTTTTGATCAGATCCCCACCACTCTCTGAAACCCTCTTCTGGCAACTCAGGCCATTGCACCCATGGTACACAGACATGTGCGAAGAAAATACCCATACACATAAACATTTTTAAAAAGAAAAATTTTAAAGCAGACTACAGAAAAGGTACTTAGAAAAAGGGCAGTATATACCCAAGACACAGATGACAGGCTTCTCAATAGAGTTATGTAAAAAGTATTTCAGATGGATTTCAATTTGCTTTGAATTCATTAGTAAAAATCCCTCGAGTCTGAACTTTTAAGTTCATCGTGACTCATACTTATAGGCAGCTCCCTAACAGCATCACAGAATGTCTTCTATAGAGCCTTGGGTACTGGCAGACGCTTGCCTGCTGGACACTCATTTCCCCTTTCCATCAGTAGAGGGTGCTGAAAGAACACCAGAAGTGGTCCTCTGGTTCCAGAGAGCTCTTCTTTGCTTGCTGCTGTAGCACCTGACAGCTAACAAGTCCACATACCAACTGTCAGAAAACCAGCCAACTTCCCCCAAACTGCCATCAACTCTGTGGCTGCCGGCCTTCTCCCTGTGGCTGCCCTACCACAAACATTCCCAATACCTGCTTCAATGATCCAGTCTCAAAACTACAATCAAAATAACCTCGTAAGACATAAATCTTAAAGGCAGTCATGGAGAATAGTTAATGACTATAATAGCAGCCCTTGTGAAGTAGAGGCAGGAGTTTAAGAACAGCTTAACAACCTGTGCCATAGGAGACCCTATCTAAAACAAACCTGCTTATTTTTATATTTAAAAAAAAAGAACAGAAAATGAGTCAATGAGATGATTTGGTGGGTAAAAGCACTTGCCACCAAGCCTGACATCCTGAACTAAATCCCTAGCACCCACGTGGTTGTGGAAGAAAGTCCTGGGAGATGTCCTCTAACCTCAAGAGCACTGTGGCATGTGTGTGCCTACTCTTTACCCCTCATCCACTACATAGGGACAAACACACACACAGTTTTAAAAGATGATAAAAATAAAACCCCAGAGGGATGGTGGGGCCTACACAACTATGTAAATAAATGTATACAGTGAGCCCCTGTCTCTAGAATCAACCCAAGACCTAGGTAATAACGGAGAAGTGTTGTACCACTGTGTATTTTTTCCCTTAGGGTTGTTTTATTTTGTTTTAAGACAAAATTTCATTATGTAGCCCAGACTGGTCTTGAATTCACAGCCTCCTACCTACACTTCTCTAGTAAAAAGGACAGCTGAGATATAAGTAATTAACTGATGACTTGAGGAATGCCTTTCTCCTTCCTTAGCTCATGAGGACAAAGATCTTGTACTTACAAACTTCATACACACAGTACTAAAAAGTATCTGTTCAGAGCCATGGGTATAGTCTAGTGGTTAAGAGAACCTGTCTGGTACGCTGTATGGCCCTGAGTTCTAGCACTGAAAAGAAAAACTATTCATGAATGACAAATCTACTTCCTATGTGGTGGGATAAAGTGTAAGAGGTAAAATCTTGGTCCTTAGGATGTGCTAGGCAAGTAATCTACAACTAAGCTATAGTCCCAGCCCCAAATGAGTTACTTACTGGTTTTCATTGTTTGAGGCAAGTCTCACTGGGATGGCCTCAAAAGCACTACTTAAATGCTGAGATTAGAGGTATGCATCACACCTGCCTCCTGACTGTGAAACTGTTATGGTCAAGGCACACTTAACAGTTTTATTGTATTATGGCTCAGAACTTATCAACTAAAAAAAGGAAAAATTAGTTGGGTGTGTTAGTACACAGCCAAAGAATGAGGCAAGAGGATTTCAGGCAAGATCAGACTATATAGTAAGTCAATGTAAATTCAGGCTAGGCTGTAAAATCAGGGCCAGAGTAGCCTCTATAGCAGCCACTCTCAGCCGTGGGCTGAGATCCCTCTGGGAGTCGCATGACCCTTTCAAAGGGATCACATGTCAGATATCCTGCATATCAGATATTTACATTACAATTCACAACAGTGGCAAAATTAGTTATGAAATAGCAACAAAAATAATTTTATGACCGGGGTCACTACAACATGAGGGACTCTATTACAGGGTCCTAGAATTAGGAAGGTTGAGAACTATTGATTAAAGACATTGCTAAGGTTTTAGGGCTACACAGCAAGACATTGTTTCAAAAATGAACAGAAAGTTGCAGATGTGTTTGGGTTTGGAAGTACACACTTCTAATCTTAGTATTCAGAAACAGAAGCTAAAGAATCATCAAGTAGAGGCTAGATTAAGCTACACAGCGAGACCCTGCCTCAAAACAAACACAATTACAAATATCAAACTAGGACACAATGCTAGGGGGTGGCACACACCTTTAACCCCAGCACTCAGGAGGCAGGTATGGCGGAGCTCTGAGTTTGAGACCACACTGGTCTACAGAGTGAGTCCCATGACAGCCAGTGCTACACAGAAAATTCCTGTCTGGAAAAATTTAGAAGAAGGCGGCTAAAACAGCCCACCCTCTCTGAGGCTCCATTGGCAGTTAGAGGTCGCTGGGAATGGGAGATGTTTTCTTCAGTGATACAGCTGCTGGGAGTTGTCCACACTCCAGTCCCTACATAGCACTTACCCACGCTCATGCAAGCAATCAGCTCTTTAACCTCAGCTTTACTGAGCTATTTCCTCAGCCCAGTATTTTTGGGTTCTGGAGACAGAATCTCACTATGTAGTTCTAGCAAATCAAGAACTCACTGACCCAGCTAGTCTCAAACTTGAAGACTCCTCCTCCCTCTGCTTTCTGAATGCTGTGATTATAGGCATGAGCCAAAACATTATGCTCAAATTAGGACTTACCTGTAACATGTTTGTTTATTTGTTTACTGTTACTGAGGTAGGGTTTCACTAAGCAGTCCCAGCCAACATGGAACTCTTTGTAAACCAGAGGCTGTTCTTGAACTCACAGAGACCTGCCCAACCTACCCAGGTCTCCTGGAATTAAAAGCATGAGCCACTTCACCCAGCCTGTAACATTTCTCTAGCCTCCTTTAATCTAGACTGAGCTCATCCACCCTTAGGCAGAACAGTACATGAAGGATATGATATCCTTCTCAGTACATGACACATGGGAGGCATTTAACATTCAACTATGCCCTATAGTTTAATTTTATTTTCCAGCCTAAAGACCACAATACTTTTAGTACACCTGCGTTTTGAGTGCAACTCTCATGCCTACCTCACCAACTCCAGCCTTTTCGAATATTTTTGAGACAGTGTCTTGTAAGCCAAGACCTTGAATCGGAGTTATTATGTAGCTAAAGATGACCTTGAACTTCTGATCCTTTTGTCTCCACCCCACCCCTGAAGTCCTAGGCACATGTGTGTCAAGGCACCTACTTTACTCAGTACTGGGACAGAACTCTGGGTTTTGTGTATGTTGGGCAGGCGCCCGAGCAGCTAACATAATACTCCTAAAAGTGGCATTTCTGTCACACTGTATAAAGGTTTGTTTTGGTTTTTTTCAACACTGTTTCTTTCAAGGGATTTCCTACTCTAAAGTTATTTCATTTACTTCTTCGTTGCCGACTACTCTCCAACTGCACGGCTTTATTCCATGACAAACAGTCTGTCTACCTGCATTACACACCGGAAACCTACCAAAACACCTGACATCAGGGCACCTCGATACCTACTTAGTGAAAACAAATGGGTATTTTCTCATAGAATATTTTTTTCCTTTTTTAAAATTTTACTTTTATGTGCATTGTTGTTTTGCCTACATGTATGTCTGTGTGAGAGTGTCAGATCCCCTGGAACTGGAGTTACAAACAATTGTGAGCTGCCATGTGGGTGCTAGAAATTGAAATGGGGTCCTTTGGAAGAGCAGCTAGTGCTCTTAACTGCTGAGCCATCTCTCCAGCCCCAAAAATCTTCTTTAGAAAACCTAACCCTATGTAGCATAGCCAAAGCGGGTATTTCATTAGCTGTAATTCTCTATATGTGCTGACTCATACCTCTAATCCCAGCCAGTTGGGAGGCTGAGATAGGAAGATCATTGTGAGGACAAGGACACACAGGGTCATACGATGATATCAGGCCAGCCTTGGTTATAATGAGACCTTCTCAAAATAAAACCACACAAGGATATTTTTCCCATGGAGTCCCTCCTACTCTCAGGAGTTCTCCCTCAATTTTCCTTAATAAATCTATGTTCACTCTGTCGAAAAATAAATAAGTAGGAGCTGGAGAAATGGCTCAGCGGTTAAGAGCATTGTCTGCTCTTCCAGAGGTCCTGAGTCCAATTCCCAGCAACCACATGGTGACTCACAACCATCTATAACATGATCTAAGGCCCTCTTCTAGCATGCAGGTATACATACAGAGTACTCATATACATAAAATAAATAAACAAACAAATAAGTAAATAAATAAGTGAAATGAAATGAAAACCACGCTTAACAAAACAAAAAAATTCTAGTCTTTATTCTAAAACCAGAAGACTAGGAAGAAACTTTTTATTTTGGCATGGATTACTTATTTTGCTGAGAGAGAAAAAAAAAAAAAACCCTCTGAAGCCTCAGAATACTAAGGGCTGACAGAATACTAAGGGCTCAGAATACTAAGCGAAAAAAGAATAATGAAAAATGGGTTAATCACAGTAATAAGCTAGTCAGGCATGCAGTTATATATGTATCTGAGTGAGTGTTGACAAACATACAGATCTCTGAGTATCCCTAAGTACAGATGAAAATTAGCAACATAAATCATAAACAAAGAACAAATGGTGCTGAAACATACACTCTTCCCTCAGTTTCCCCATCTCTAATCTCACCATGCACAGCCTCACCTCTCCTTTTATTCAACCACTGTATAGTGCTGAAAATATCATATGAATTTACCAAACACAAGCCCATCTTACCAAGTGCTCTTGCTACAGCCAGGAAAGGGATCTGGTCAATGACTGTGCTCCTTCGAACAGGTCCACTGTGAGTGAGCCGAGGTCTTTTCCAAACCACACGATTCACTCCAGACTTGTTCATCACACTAAAAAGTGAACAGAGTTCATAATTAGTCTAAATGATTACAATATAACTAATCCTGATATGTTAGGAATTAATGAGATTATGTTATCACAAAATAATGATATATGTTCGAGTACAAAAATATAATAAGCCAAGGTTCTTGCTATAAAAAGACAGACAAAACAGGGAAAGTTTTACATGAAAGGAATTTGACTACAGTAGGCCAAACAGAACCAACTGCAAATAATATGAAAATGAAGAGACAGAACAAAGAAAAGCACAGGATGACAGGACTTAAATAATGCAAGGTGGAAAAGTGGCTAGATAAATGGACAGCATTTACATAAGTAAAAGGGTTTTCCAGTTCCTTTGCAGGATGAGGGAAACAGACAAATGTCAGCTACAATATTTCTGATCTGAAGATTAACAGGAGTTAGGCATGGTGAGTCAGACCTGCAATCCCTTCACAGGGTGTGGCAGGAGGCTCAACACTGCTCAAACCACAGATTCTATAGATTTAGATGTTTCTATAATTTAAGTATGATGCGAGACCTGGGAAACACAACTGCTTTATAGATACATATCTGGGAGTTACAGGGTGGCGAAACCCTCCTCCAACTTTAACAAAAAAGCAATGCAAATCTTTAATCAGTATATAAAAGAGTTAGTTACCTCAGAGCACCTAAAATTTTTTAAGTATGGTTAATTTTTTGGAAAAAATTTAAGTATAGAGTTGGTTGCTCATTCTGTGCTTGGTGTAACTGAAGAGATTTACTTAAAAGAAAACTCTTATTTCAAATTAATCATGGTTTCTCTGTGTTGTCCTCTGAGACACACTGAGACACACACACACACACACAAACAGTTTCTCTGATTTTTTTTTTTTTAAATGTCAATAAAAGGACTAGAGAGCTAGCTGAGTCTGTAAAGTGCCTGCTATGAAAACAGGAAAACCTGAGTTCTATCCTCAGGAACAAAATAAAGCACGGCATGCTGCCACTGGCGGCACAGTTACAATGAATACAGTGCTGGGGAGGCAGACAGAAGGATCTCTGGAGCCTGCTGGCCATTTAGCTTATACAAGTCAGCAAGGCCAGGCCACAGTGAGAGAGCATCTCAAAAGCCAGGTAAACAAACCAGAGATGGTGGTGTGGGTGCCTGGAGTCCCACCTACTCCAGAGACCGGGCATGAAGATCATGAAATTTGAGGTTACCTGGACAATATAATGAGAACCCCATCTCCACATATAATCAAGGGAAAGGGGCCAGCAAAATGGCTCTGGGGTAAAAGTGCTTGCCGTCAAACCTGATGACCGAAGTTCAATCCACAAGGCCCACACATTAGAAAGAAAAGAGCTGGTTCCTACAAGGTGTTCTCTAACCTCTATGCATGTACACACACACACACACACACACACACACACAAATAAATGTAATAACAAATTAAAAGTTGACAAAATATACAAACCATTTAATATGACTTTCCCCACCCCATTGCAGAAAAGTGAACACAGAGCCTTGAGCATGTTAGGTACCCACCTGATTTGCCTCTAGCCCAACGTACAGATTTGCCAGCTAGTTTCACTATTAATAAGAAATCTGACATACTGGTATGTGCCCCTTTATTAGTTTACTCTATTGACTTTGAGTAGCATGACTTTATCCCCAAATGAGCACTAACCCGATCTGCACTGAGAATCAATTAGCTTCACAACCTAGAAAACTAGTTTAGGGATTCAGCTCAGTTCTAGAGCACTTGGCTAGCATACATGGTTCAACATCCAGTACTACAGAAGGGGCAAAAAAGGAAGAAAACCCTGAAGAAAGGCTATAGTAGTAGTGATGAGAGAATGCACGGAAGCACTTGACTGTACAAGCCTGTCACCCTAAACTCAGATCTCCAGGACTTGTGTAAAAGCAAGATATAAACGCAGGGACATCTGTAATCCCAGCACTCTTACAAGGAGATAGAAGAGAAACACGGGAGCATCTGTGGAAGCTTTCTGATCACCTAGCATGGTGAAGTTATTCGGCAGAAAAACAGCAAAAGAACCCTTTCTCAAACAAGGTGGAAGGCAGGGACTAATGCCCTAGCTGTCCTCTGACCCCACACACTTCCCATGCCACACACTCCCACACAAGATTCAAAGGAAGAAAGTTAAGTGGAAGATAAGTTCACCTAAAGAGGACAAGCAACAATAAGGCCAAACCTAGAGATCAAGCAACAGCGGGAGATGTTTGTAACCACAATGCTGATAAACACTGTTTTATTAAACTTCAGAAGTCACATATGGCCAGTGGTCAGCACTGATACAGCGACAGAAGTGTTGGGCACGGTGGCGCACACCTGTAATCCCAGCACTTGGGAGGCAGAGGCAGGCAGAGCTCTGTAGGCAGGCTTTGTAGGCCAACCTGGTCTACAAAGCAAAAGGCTATACAGAGAAGCCCTGTCTCAAAAAAAAAAAAAAAAAAAAAAAAAAAAAAAAAGTCAGTCTAGAGCTGTAAATGTCAATTTAGAGCAGAATTCCAAAAAGTCCCTAATTCACCATACTTTTGGAGAATAACTTCAACTTTCAGTTCTAAAAATAACAAGAGTTAGAAGACCAAAGGCAGTCATTTTCTTATGTGTCTTCAAAGCTGGAGCTCAAATCAGGGAGAACTGGCCATTCACAAGATCATGGAACAGGAGAAATACACTGAGAATGGATGCCAACATTCACTCTTGAAACCCTCTCAAAGCCCAAGGATTCTTTCTAAAGGACTGCACCTGACAAGGCGAGCCTCTGGATAGAAGCAGTTCCAGAAGCTGTCTCCAATATAAATGTGCTAAGAGTTCTCTTGATACTTCACTGACAAGGATATTATGGTCTTTGTGTGTCTGAGAAACAAGACAAATAACAGTACTGTTTAAGAAAAAAAGTCTAAACCCAAAGCAATGTTATAAGACATTGCTTTTCCTACACACCCTGCTGTTGTTCTGTATTAAAAGGCAAATGGGAAGGAACAGCCTGACATGCAGAGAGCTGACTGTGCATCAACAGAAGGCTGCAAAAACAAGAACGCTGGCCAACTGTTTTGGTCGGGATGGAGGGAAGACAGGAAATAACTTATGAAAAATGGCTCAATTTTTGCAAAAAAGACACCTGCTCCCAAATGGCAAAGAGCATGTGTCCAACTGACCAGATGCTATTTTTAAGTGAAAAGGAAAAACCCATAAACTCTTTAAGTGCTATTAAAAATAAAAAAAGGAAAAATAAATCAAAGCAATATAACTTTAAATATTCAAGTTTTAAAATAATAAGAAAATAATCGAGAAAAAATATTTTTCTTTAAAAATAGAATGAAAACAGATCAGGCCCAATATTAAAAATATATAGCAAAGGACTAGTGACACAGCTGGGCAGTGGTGGCAAATTTGCAAGACAGAGGCAGGTGGATCTCTGTGAATTTGAAGCCAGCCTGTCTGCAGAGTGAGCTCTAGGACAGCCAAGGCAACACAGAAAAACCCTGTCTCAAAACACAAGCAAACAAACAAAAACTAGAGACACTACTAAATGGCAGATTTGCTTAGCATGTACAAGGACCTGGGTCTGATCTCCAAAAATGTCAAGAGATGAAATAATGTCCCAATTTAAAAGATTATGAGGGCCAGATATAGTAGCACATGCCTTTAATCCCAGCAATCAGGAAGCAAAGACAGACAGACAATCTCTGCGAGATCAAGGCCAATCTTGTCTACAGACAGAGCTACATAGTGAGACCCTGTCTCAATATAAACAAACAAACAAACAAATAAATAAATAAAAGGTTATGGGAACTGGGGATAACAACAAAAGCAGATGAGTGCTTGCTTAGAATGCGTGGACTCTCAATTCAATCCCAAGTAGCACTCGGTGAGCACACACACATTCAAAGAGAGAAAATAGCAAATGAAAGACAAAATAAACAAACAAGGAAAAAACCCAAGTATATGTACAATTATCTCTCATATGATTAAATAGACTATAGCCTGAAAGCAGATTCATTTAAAATTGTAGGTTATAGAACAAAAATAATAAAACTATCTAAAACAGCAATTTCAAGGACTAAGGAAATATTTTTTTAATATTTTATTTATTATATATACATTGTTCTATCTGCATGTACACCTGCATGCCAGAGGCACCAGATCTCACTATAGATGGTGGTGAGCCACCATGTGGTTGCTGGGAATTGAACTCAGAGCCTCTGGAAAAGCAGCCAGTGCTCTTAACCTCTGAGCCATCTCTCCAGCCTGACTAAGGAAATCTTAAAAGCAATCCTTAGGATTCCCCGGAGTGCCTTTGTAGCCACCAACATGACAACTCAGGAACTTTTTTTGATACAGGGTATTACTATGTGACCTTGGCTGGCGGAGAACTTGCCTTGTAGACAAGGTTGGCTTCCAAGCTGTAGCAGTCTCCCTGCCTCTGCTCCCAAATGCTGGGATTACAGGCACATGCCACCACACCTTGATTCACAGCTAAATTTTCAATAAACAAGGCCATGAAATTTTCCTCAGATAAATGGGGTTTGTTTGAGAAGGGTCTCACTCTGTAAGTCAGGCCTGCCCGACACTTACTATGTAACTTAGGCTGGCTACCAACTCATGACAACCCTGCTTTACCCTACAGAATGCTGGAATAGCAGGCCTAAGCCCCAATACTCAACAGTCAGTAAGTTTCCTGTGCCCCAGGAATTCAACATCTAACAAGACTGTAACTACAGGGCTAGACTGTCCGCTCAGCACTGACCAGCATTTACTGCTCTTACAGAGAACCCAAGTTCCAGTCACAGCAGCCTCACTGGTGACTCACAATCACCTCTAACTCCAGGTCCAGGGGACCCAATGGCCTCTTCTAGACTCCATAGTCACTTGCATATACGTGGCATATGTTCAAACACATACATATATACACATAAATAATAAAGGCCATAACTATCTGGTCTGTACACAAGCTAAACTGCACACATGTCAGAAGCCATCGCTGTGTTTGCAAATAGAAATGTAGAGTCTATACAAAGTCTCTAGCCAGATGAAGCTCCATCCATGGTCACTTTACAGTAAGCAATGCCATCCTACAACAGAGCTGACATGTGTTTACCTTAACCAGAAAAGGTACTGGGGAAGATAAACTCCAGGCCATCTTTTCACAACATAAAGAGCGTAACCCCGGGCAGCCTCCTAATCAGGAACAGGTGTGTAACTGTCCAAGCAGTTACTGCTGCCTTATGGAAAAACTTAACCCGTGTCTCTACTACATTGCTTAGATTTTTTTTTTTTTGAAATTCCAGTTTAAGATTAAAATCTAAAAGGTGAAGCCATGTACACATTAAAAAAGTCTCTCTCAAAATGTAGTCTGGTGATTCCTCTAGAAATGTCAAAGCTTTCTAAGCAGGTGTGCAGGGTCAGCCGTTCGCATTATGAGAGGGTCATGTGTCTACAGGTAGTTTGTAAGTGGTGGAATGACTGGCTGTGTTACAGAATCCCAGAAATAAGTGGTTGATGATAAATTCTACAAAATGATACTACAAAATCTTGTATAGGGGTTTCTATAAGTATAATAGTCTAGAAAGTACAAAACTATGACAGTGAGCAGGTCAGTGGTTACCAAGGGGAGAGGAATGGAGACAAAACAGGCAGAGTGCACTGGTGATATTTATTTTTGTTTTGAAAAAGTATCTCTATTACATGGCTCAGGCTAGCCTGGAACTTGATATGCTGCCCAAGATGGCTTCAAACTTATAGGTACACACCCTCATGGCTGGTAATGCATAATAAAACTACTTTCCAGATAATAAAGTTACCCTTCCCTGGCACGTACTTTAATCCAACTACTTGGAAGGCAGAGGTAGGAGAACTTCCTCTCTGTGAGTTTGAGGCCAACCCTGTCCACATAGTGTCTCAAAAAGAAATATATTAAAATGCATGGGTGTGTAGCTACTGCAAACAAGGTAACATATCATGACAGATTAAAGACAGAAGATGTGAGACTAGCTGTAACTTATAACACTATAGAGACCTGCAAAAACGAAAACAGTGCCATTCCTGTCACTCAGCGTTTTATCTCGCTGTACTTACACACAGTAAGACTTAAAAACAAGAGCACCTTTTTAAAAATCGAGGATTATAATAAAGATAAACAGTAAAAATAATATCTTCAAGGCACATGACAAAGACTGTTCTACTCTGCCCAGATTCTGAAGATCATTTGTCAGTATTTGAAGCTTCCGATAAAATCCTACCTATTGTTACCTCAGATACTTCTCTTTAGAGCCATCTTCAGAAATAAAGCAATTTTTAAAAATAACGTAAATATGAATATATTGTTTCTGTAACAAGCAAATGAGAACTCATAATACTAGGAAGTTAAGTGCTTTAAAAAGGAGAAGGGAAGTCAAGCACGGTTGCCCCATGCCTATAATCCCAGCAAAGCACTGAGAGGAAGATGCAGGAAGATCAAGAGTTCCAGGCTCAGCTATGTAAGATTCTGTCTAAAAAAAAAAAAAAGAGAGAGAGAGAGAGAGAGGGAGGCAGGGGGAGGGTGCATGTTTAATCCCAGCACCGGGGAGAGAGAGGGAGGCAGGGGGAAGGATGCATGTTTAATCCCAGCACTGGGGAGCCCAGCACAGAGGATCACAAGTTGTGGACTGGCATGGGCTACACAGTGACTTGGATGCCAGGCTGGCCTACATAACAAAAGACAGAGTGGACACAGCTAGCTAACAGAACCAAAATAAGAGAGACAAAACAAACGGTTACCTCCCACCAAGTCCTTCAATTCTTTCTCTTTCCTTGGGAAGTTCTGGCTTGTGGTCTTGCGTCACCTCCACAGCTCTAACAAAATCATCCTTTGGGTCATCCTGAATTCCAAGGACCACCCCAGAATCACCTACATGAGCTACATACATCTTCATGCCCCGTATGATAACCACACTGGCAGTTGTCCCGGACGTGCTGGGAAGACCTGTCATAGTCTTTGGCCATTCTGCTGTAATAAAAAAAGAAAATATTTTATAGTTCACTTCTCCAGGTATACACATTAGCATGGTTATCAGAATATAAAAAGCAACATATCTTGAAGTAGCATGTTAACACTTGAGTTTGTACAGCAAAAAGTTTAAGAAAAACATCTTGAACTAGAGATGTAGCTCAGGAGTGGAACACCTACCTAATATTCTCAAGATCCTAGATTCAATTACTATACAGAATGAACAAAAGGGAGGGAGAGAGGAAGGAAGGGAGGGAAGGAGAAAGAGAAGGAGAGAGGGACAGAGGAACAGAGGGAGAGGGAGGGAAGGAAGGAGGAAGGGAGGGAAGGAGGGAATGAGGGAGGATTTTAGAAACTACCTGTCTTGAGATAGGATTTCTATTGCTGTGATAAAACATCATGACTAAAACCAACATGAGGAGGAAAGAAAAGGGTTTATTTCATCTTACACTTCCACATCATATTCTATCATCAAAGTCAGGGCAGAAACTCAAGTCAGGAACCCGGAGGTAAGAACTGATGCAGAGACCATGGGCGAGTCTTATAGGCTTCCTCCTCACAGCTTTCTCATCCTTTTTTATAGAACCCAGGACTACCAGTCCAAGGGTGGCACTGCCTACAGTGAACTGGGTATTCCTATATCAATCAATCAAGAAAATTCACCACACACTTGCCCACAGAGCAATCTGGTCAAGTATTTTCTCATCTGAGTTCCCTCTTCCAAAATGAGTCTATTCTGTGTCAAGCTGACAAACTAATTCGCACATTACTGATGGATAAATACATTTATAAATAATATAATAAAACTGTAAACCAATACTGAGAAAAAATTAGAGAACAGATTGTCTACTTCTAAGGATATATTAAGTTTTGTTTTCTTTGCTAGGAACAAAACCCAAGGCTTCCTACATGCCGTGCAAGTACTCTATTCTCCAACTAAGCAACAACCCCAGCTCTGCAGGACAATAGAAATACCACTTTGTGAAAACTTAGCACTCATATCTTTCCAGAAATAACCACTTAGTTTTATTTTTAAACAACTTTCAAATATTCAAATTTTAATTTTAATTTATTTAGTTATTTGAAACAGGGTATCACTATGTAGCTCTGGCTGGCTTGGAACTTGCTATGCAGACCATGCTAGCCTAATCTCAAACTCAGAAACCTGCCTGCCTTTGCCTCCCATACTTTTATTTGTGTGTGCTTGCATGTGAGTCTGCACATGTGATGGGCTATTATGCGCACATGTGTGCACAACCCTAACGGTCACAAAAGGCCAGCAGATTCCCTGGCGCTGGAGTTGCAGGGAGTTCTTAGTCTGCTAATGTAGACGCTGGAAACTGAAGCCGGGTCTTCTGAAAGAGCAGTACATGCTCTCAGCAGCTGACCCTTTTCTCCACCCAACTAACACTTACTGACACCATGTACAAGGTTCTATACAAAGAAGCTTGCACCTATTACTTCAAACAATATTTACAAGGCAGGCAAGGTGGTGCATGCCTGTAATTCCAGCACTCAGGGAGACAGAGGCAGGCAGACCTCTATGAGTTCAAAGCCAGCCAGGTCTACAAAATGACTCCCAGACAGCCAAGGCTACACAGAGAAACACTGTCTCAAAATAAATAAATAAATAACAGTAAACCTGTGAGATATAAAAATATCCCACAACCAGGCAGAGATGGCACACACCTGTAATCCCAGCACTCAAAAGGCAGAGGCAGGCAAATATCTGAGTACAAGGCCAGCCTGATCTACAAAGTAAGTTCCAGGATAGCCAAGGCTACCTAGAGAAACCCTGTCTTAAAAACAAACCAAAAAATTATTCCTATTATTTCATCTTACAAATGAAGAAATGAATACTTTGAATGGTTAAGAAGTTTGCTTCAGATAATTCAAATATTATATAATAGAATGCTCAGATCAATTCCAAACCATACACTAATTAAATTCAGTGGCAGTCAGTAATTCTGTAATACTAAACTATCACTGTATTCATGATGACAGATTGAATCACACTCACTCACATAGTCTGCCCACCAAAACTCTACTGAAAGGACAAAATATAAAAATAGCCATAGCAAACATGAAGCAAAGGAAAAGGTCACAAGCAAATATGAGGAATTCCTTTAAGTTTGAGCAAACAGGGTTAAACTAAGGATAAGTGCAGGAGGCAGTCATCTGATACCCAAGATTAGTTAATAGGAAGGAATAATTTGGTTCCCCTTCTTAATTGAGTTCAAGAAACAATAGTGAAGACTGAAGATAATGCATGTTAAACCGAGGCTGGAGTGATGACTCAGCAGTGAGGAGCACTTGCTGTTCTATCATGAGGATCCCAGCACCCATACCTGTAATTCCAGCCCTAAGGAATCCAACACCTTCTTCTGGCTCCCTGTGCACCCACAAGATTACACAGTAAACTACCAGGAACAGAGTAACACAATACTTCACAAGATGGAAGAGGCTATATACAATGTTCCTACAACTCAAGTCAGTCAGACAGGCCACCAAAAGGAAAAAATAAAAAATAAAACAATATGCCTAAATAGGCCTTGAACCATAGAAAAACTCAAACAGAAAAACACGCAAAGGCATTCAATTTTTCTTCAGTCATCTGGTAAATAGTAATTAAAAACCGCAAGATAACACTGCATGAGTACAAATGCTTAAAGTATGACATAGCAAATGTGGTTAGAAAGTTGGAGCAATACAGATTCTAATCTACCACTTCTGATAAGAGCAGAGTGTAAACTGGCACACTGGGGAACATTTGGGTATCCTGTGCAAGAAGTGAAGACATAACCTTCAACAACTCCATTAATACACCATGTTACTGCAAAAATACAAACAGAAACAAACGGCCAAAGCAACACCATTCATGAGAGCTAAAACTAAACATCAATCCTCATGTCCCTTGGACTACACACAACACATAAGAATCTCACAAACATATGAGATAAAAGAAGATATACAGTGAGTTACCAAAATATACGGTGTTTCAATAGGTCAAAAGTAACTGCTAAGAAAAATAAGCAAGCAGCACAGAACTAAGGTTGAAGTAACGGTTACTCCTTGGAAGTAGATAGAAACATGAAGCCATAGTAACAGAAAACTGTAACTCCAGCTACTAGGGAGGCTGAAGTAGTAGAAGGATTAATAGTACAAGGCAAGCTTGGGCAACTTCATAAGACTATCTCAAGAAAATAAAAATAAAAATTTACCTAACATACACCAACTTCTATATTCGATACCCAGCAACACATATGAACACACAAATAAGACCAGCATGGATATACATCTATAATACAGGCAATGTTCTCTTCTCTATGTAGATAGTATTTACATTTATTCACTACTGACACTCAGACAACTGTGATGGCAGACATGTAGTCCCAGGACCAGGGAGGTAGAGGCAAAAGAGTTGTTGTGTTCAAGACCAGCCTGGTCTACATATCTATCATGTTCTAAGCTAGCCAGAGGTACACAGCAAGACACTGTGTGTTAAAACAAAAACAAAAACAACAAACAAGCAAACAACAACAAAAGACAAATTCAGGGCAAAAATTTACTAAAGGCTACAAGTAATTGAGTCATATACAAAATTCACCTAAAATAAAATGACATTGGAAGGGATGGCAAATAAGAGAACATTCAAAGCCACAATATTATTTAAATCAGATTTCTGAACCTGTCTTGATAGTGCATACCTGTAATATCAGCACTTGGGAGGTAGAGGGAGGAGGATCAAGAGTTCAAGGTTATCCTCAGCTACAAACAGAATTCCAGGGCACATGACCCTCTAAGTCAAAAAAGAAAATTTAAAGTCCAGTGTAACAGTGCATGCCTTTAGTCTGGAAGGCAAAGGCAGGTGGATCTCTGGTCTACATAGTGAGTACCAGGTCAGCCAGAGCTATGTAGAGACCATGTCTCATGAGTTCAAGGCCAGTCTGGTCTACAAAGCAAGTCTAGGACAGCCAAGCCTACACAGAGAAACCCTGTCTCAAAAAAACAAAAGGAAAAACAAGGAAATCATGAAATTTGCAGGTAAATGGTGGTATCTGGAAAAGATCATCCTGAGTGAGCTGTCCCAGAAGCAGAAAGACGTACACGGTACATATAAATCACTCATATAGACATATAATATAGGATAAACCTACTAAAATCTGTACACCTAAAGAAACTAATCAAGAGGGAGGACTCTTGCTAAAATGCTCAATTCCTATCCAGAAAGGCAACGAGGGTGGACATCAGAAGAAGGAGAAAAGAGGGAACAAGTCAGGAGCCTGACACAGAGGACCTCTGAAAATCTCTGCCCTGCAGACTATCAATGCAGATACTGAGTCTTATGGGCAATCTTTGGGCAGAGTGCAAGGAATCTTAGGAAAGAGGTGGGAAACAGTATGATCTGGAGAGGACAGGAACTCCACAAGGAGAGCAACAGAACCAAAAAATCTGAGCACAGGGGTCTTTCCTGAGATTGATACTCCAAACAAGGACTGTGCATGGAGATAACCTAAGACCCCTGCACAGATGTAGCCCATGGCAGTTCAGTATCCAAGTGGGTTCCACTGTAATAGGAACAGGGACTGCCTCTGACATGAACTGATTGGCCTGCTCTTTAATTACCTCCCCCTGAGGGGGAAGCAGCATTACCAGGCCACAGAAGACAATGCAGCCACTTCTGATGAGACCTAATTGACTAGGATCAGAAGGAAGGAGAAGAAGACCTCCCCTATCAGTGAACTTGGGGAGGGGCATGCATGCAGAGGGTGGAGGAAGGGAGGGATTGGAACAGGAGGAGGGAAGGAACCACAGGGGAGGTACAAAGTGAATAAAGTGTAATTAATAAAGAAAAAAAAAAAAAAAAAGGAGGGGCTGGGAGATGGCTCAGAGGTTAAGAGCACTGGCTGCTCTTCCAGAATTCTTGAGTTCAATTCCCAGCAACCAAACGTTGGCTAATTTGGCTCCCATTTATACAGGGGTCTGATGCCCTCTTCTGG